TCTCTCTCTCTCTCTCTCTCTCTCTCTCTCTCTCTCTCTCTCTCTCTACACCTATAAATTATTTTGCAGTGATGTCATTGTCAGCTTGCCAAAAATCATGCGTGTCCATTTGATAATTCCTGGGGTAATCTATTAAATATTATATGTTATTGTGACTCATATCAGTGCATGGAGAAATACAACTTTGCCCCTTAAGGTAAGAGAAATCCCACAGATAGCATGGATGTATATATCTGACTGTAGCGTGTGACTGTCGTACGACAAAGGCCACGGTTTGTTCCCTCCCGTTGGGTGATATGGGAGATGTGAGCCTATGGACCAGCATCATGGCCTTTAAACTCTTAACAGGCCAGACACACCCTGCGGACGTTTTCACAGTCGGCTGATACGAAAGCTGCTTTTGACTTCTGTTAAGTGAAAGGAAATATCGAACTGATTCATAAAATCCATACCTCATTGTGTGTGTTTTTTCATTTTGTTTGTTACAGTATTTGTTGTTATTTTCAGCTGAAGTAACCCAGTTCTGTTTCATCTAATTTTTAGCAATGACTAAAGTGTTCTCAGCTCTAATCACAGTGCATTTATATTGCTAACAATCAACCTTTCTCTCTCCTCCACTGGCTTTTATCGAATTGTCCTCTTTATAAATGTTATTAATATCCCTCTCTTTGTTCCATCTCTCCCTCCTTTTTTTTTTTTTCTTTTGTTTTTGACTGCAGGCGAGCCCATACTGTGACCGTGCTCTTCATATTGACCTGTGCTCTGGTCTACGTCACGCTGTTGGAAGAGACCCCCCAGGACACAACCTACAACACTAAGAGGTCAGTAGGCTGCGCTCGTCACTTCCTCCGTGTCGTCAAAGCCAAAAAGCCTGCAGAAACCAGTAGGCTGCCCTAAGAAAACCCACTCAATCCACTGAGGCGTTTTGATCGGACGGATAATCATTTTGGCTGCAGTTTATCTTTAGAAGAAAACGTGATTTATTAGTAATCAGCATCAAGGTTTATTCTAATTTTTGAGTCATGCCGGGTTTAGATTTTGATTAGTTTTCCTGCCCCTTATAACCAGAAATTGACCTATTTGTATGTGAAGTTTAAGGGTTTGTCAATCCTCTGTGGATTATGTCAGACTGTCATTCAAAGCCTGATGAATAGGTCAAATAAGAAAACCAGCTAATAAGCACCACAGTTCTAATTTCACCGTTACAGCCATTTGGCATGAAGCCACACAGCCACAGCCACATGGGCGAGGTGCTGAACTCATTGATCCAAATTGAAGCTCTTACTTCTTCAGTAGCATTCACCTTGAACCAAGCTGGGCCCCCTCCAAGGAAAACCGAACCCTGATGACCATGAAAAGGAAGAGCAGGAGTGTCCGGTCACCCCTTGAGCAGACCATATGAATTTATCTTTTGGGTGGATTTTATGTCAATAGGCTTGACAAATGTTCCTGCAAAGTTGTGGGTCATGCAGAGGCTACTTTGGGCTATGGCTTGTTTTAGATGGGCCAAAATTGATATGAAGAAGAAAGCTCCGCTGGTGTTTCTTCTAATTCTTCAGAGCAAGATTTTGGAAAATTATATAGTTCTTACTTTTTATTTACTTACTCTATTCCTTCAACTGTCAAGTTGGTTAGCAATTGACTCAAGACTCTTTGTGGAAATTTAAAAGCACGAGTAAATCCACTGATTAAAGCATGACAGTTGGGATTAATTGATTTTGGTGAGATATGTGTCCGGATGTTGTTGATGTGGTCTGAAATCACTCCATGGTGAAGCACCAAAGAACATCTCTCATTTGTAGTTACTGACTTTAGAGCTGACCTGGATCTGCTCACTTGGACTGACTTGACTTCATCATGTTGGTCAGGAGTTGACATCTGATTCACGTTCAGTCTCATGACAGCCGTCTCAGCTCTCTGAAAAAGGCTTGCTTTGTATAATGGCTCATGTGAACTGAAATAACAAGTGGATAACAAGTTCCTTAACGAGCTGCTTTCAATTTGTATAGATTCATTGGCTTTTACGCAATAGTGGCTGTTTGTGTGGGAGTTTAATTTGGAAGGTCAAGGCAGGCCAAGTACAAGCAAGCGGCATACATTTTGTGTGCGTTTGTGGCGGAGAGGCTGATTGTAGGTTGTGTTTGTGAGGGATTGTGGGACGGATCTTAACTGGATTTGCTGCAGTCAGCGTAGTCCGGCTCATCGGGATAAAGACCCTTGAGCTTCTTCCCAGCAGAGGCGCACACACACACACACACACACACACACACACAAACACAGATACAGTCCAAATCTCGGTCATGTACTCATTGACACACTGTTGGATACACTCGTCCATTCACACTCATTTTGAAACATTGTCCTTTTAACTAATCTGCCACTAGTTAACACAGCTGTACCCTTATTTTGACACGTGATTGTAATCACATAAACTCACTTTCCCACCTTCACATACTCACTTGATCACACACACACACACTTATGCTCCCACCTTTTATTGGCAAGCACGAGCTGAAATCTCATCGTGTGTCCAGTTGCTAAGCCTTCAGAGCAGCGTCCTTGCCTGGTGTCCTGGTTTACAGAAATCATCACAGCAGAGATTAAAGGCAACTCAAGCTGACAGCAGCAGGGTCAGATTGGCCTAATCTCTTAGTAAACACAGAGGAAATAGTAATAGGGAGTAATTATCCATGGTCAGCTGCTGAGACGGGTCACCCAATCAAATACTTTCCTCTTCTTGCTCCTGGTCGCTCTGTTTACACCACTGACATCACGGATCTCTTTGAACAGCTTAGAATAGTTTTCAATCCACAGACACGTTCTTATTTGTATATACAGACACATCTGGATTATAGGAGGAAGTAAACAAGCCGCCATTGGCACGTCTCTTGTAAACCTGCAGATGACGCTGTATTTCACTTGTGCCAAGAAATCTGTCCAGCAGATCCTGTAGAACTGGTTGTAAAGTATGATGAAAATACAGTCATCACATTATTATATAATAAGTGATGTAATCTACTAAATCTACAGTCGTCAACGAAATTTAGTCCAGTTGAAAAAGACAGCTGGCCATTTGTTCTGTGCTGTAAAGTCCCCAGCTGCTTCAACATCACCCTGACAGACACTTTCGAAAAGAGAAAAGTTAGAGCCACAAGCCTCTGCTCCATGAAATCTATTTTATTTTCCGAGATCTCCGTTATTATTATATTCTCATGTTTTGATCACATTCTGAGTTGATTGCCAATAAAGGGCCGATCAGTGAGGGCCACAAGCGATCCGCCCTCACAGGGCCGATGGGGAGCTGCTTACTCTCTCATATCTCTGGCTCAGTACTACAAGTTTCTGATTTCGGGGGTCGGACAGAACCTTGTTTTTTGTTTCTTCCCAAATTCAGCATCATAACCAATTTCACGCACGTGTTTTGAACCTGAAGAACCTCCACATTCACACAGACCGTGACTAAATCAAACATCTCTGCTTTCACTGTTGGCGTACATAAGTTCAATTCCACTCTGACACTGCAGTAATGGCAGCTGCACTTGAGAGTGCAACACAAAAATCAGCCACCGGATTTGTCTACAGTAATGATAGCATATATATATAATTAATTTATGTAAAACACAACCTTAAATTGCATTTGTTCTGTGTTTCTAATTGTGGTCCTGTAGGGGGATTGTGGCCAGCATCCTGGTGTTTCTCTGTTTTGGAGTGACACAAGCCAAAGATGGACCCTTCACAAGACCACACCCAGGTAGGACTGGCACAGGCCAAAGCTTCCTTTCCCAGTTGTATGGCAACATTTCATCAGCTTTTAAAAACTCCAGAATAAGAGCGCACATGTTGTGCAAAGCAGGTTCAATTAAAAATAATTGAGTAGGTCAAGCTTTTGTAGAGCTGTTTGGTTGGATGGTTTTATTCCATGCCTTAGCACTTGTTTACAAACTGAGAAATTGAAAATCTAATTTTGCATTACAGTAATTGACGGGAACTTTACACTGTTGTAAAGCATGCTGGTGGTGTCGAGTCTGACTCTTTAATGGTGCGTTATTTGTTACTGTGGAGGGGTAAGAGTACCTGAGAGCCGTTCAATAGCAACATTTTAGAATCTCATGTTGGCTTCTACTATAACATGAATATCCTCTGAGTGCAGGGAATCAATACACACATTGGATAGCTAAATGTAATTGTCAAAATGAAGGAGGTGGAGGGCTTTCCTGGCAGGGGTTAGGTCCAAGCAGATCCCTTAGTGAGCAAAGTAAACACACTTGGGGAGCATCTTCATCTTTATTGTTGGCATCTCTTCTGGCCTGTAGCTGTAATATCTAAAGGACTGTAGTGCTCAGTCAATAGTTTCAACATGAAAAGGATGCACGCCCTTAAACGGGGCATTCTGAGCCCAGCTTAACGCGTAAACCTCTCCCACAGATCAGCTGCTGTTTCAATGCAGAAAAAGGGACTTCTGCTTACATAGCCTCCAGACCACTGCCACTCCAATTCATTCATGACCCACTAGCAAGACACATTTGCATTAATTCACTGCAGGGACTAAACACCAACCATTAAAGATAGTTGGCATTACATGGTGTTGTACCATGACCACAGGGAATTCAGTAACCGGACATCTCGCATGCAGGTGTTTGTTTCCAGTTCTATTTCAATGTGCTGAAATTCAAACTGTAGGTAAGGACGGCAACAATGGGGCTTAGATAAAGCACTTGGAGCTCGTGTTAGGCTTTGCTTACACTCATGCAATGCATAGTGGAACTAGCGCCTAGTTACAAAAATTCAGAGGGGCACGGCCAAGCGTTGCGACAACTTGCGGAGCCTTCGGAAGGGATAGTTGATAGTTAATAGTTGATATGAGTCTGCAGCAGGTTGGTTTGTCCGTTCTAGGTTCCTGTAGAAACACGGCGTACTGTCCTGTGATGAGGACCTGCTCCGAACGTAGATATAAACGGATCATTCTACGTTAACGAAAACACAACGATTCTTATTTTCAGGTGATTAAACACTAAAGAAAACATACCTAATAATATTCTATTCCATATCTTCCAATAGATCCCCCTAAATGTTACTGTTGCTTTAGTTTGCTACATTCTATAAAGGGAGGCTTCTATTTATACAAGTGCAGTTCATAAAAGTAGTTTGCTATTGAGGTTTTTAACCAGGTCAGTCATGCAAAAGAATAATAATGTATATAATGTAACAGCCCAAGAATTTGGGCTGTTACATTATTTGTGCCTTTTTGTCCTCTCTTTTTGTGGACTGAAAAACAAGTTGTGTGTTTTAACTGATTGCGTGATAACCCCTGACCTGTTGAGCCAGCCAAGTAGGTTCAGCCAAGTAGGTTCAGTTGTTGCTTTAGATTGTTGCAGTTGTGTTGAAACAGCACATGTTTGTACCATGACAACAGAGCCTTTAGGATTTACAACCTGCATCTCATGGGGTATTCCCCCCCCCCCCCACCTCCCGGCTGGGTGTGTTGCAGCAAACTGAGATAATACACAAAGATTCACAAGAAGTTACTACAACAGCGGCTGTTGAATTTAATCCCTTTGTGTGTCATTTGTTACACGGTGCTGTGCACATCCACTAATAGACCGTTCACGCCGCTACTTTTACAAACGTGCTGATGAAGCTGAACTTTAATGGATTATCTGTTGCAATACCGCTGACTGTAGTACTCATTTGTTCAAATTCACTTTATCCCTGTAATGAAAAAAAAACACACTATGATTTATGTATTGTGAAATTCTTCATCATTACATCACCACACTGTCAACAAGGTCTGTGTGCCTGGGACATAATGTTACTCACAAAATAAACAATCACTCCCATTCTATTTGGACTGTTAAGCATAATCTGTAAATGCCGCCTTTAAACAACAGACAAAACAAAAACTGCAGTCGTATTAATTCCCAGATGGTCTCACTCACTGGATGAAGACTGTGGGTAGAAGTCTGCCATTGACTGCATACCTCACGCTTTATTGTCCTCCCCTTCCGCTATCTTTGCTATCTATTTTGCAAGGCCACTGTTGCTGCGTCCACGGCTTATCTGAGACGACTGTGATTAGTTTAAATATTAACCTCTCTCTCTCTCTCTCTCTCTCCAGCTTACTGGAGGTTCTGGCTTTGTGTCACTGTCGTCTATGAGCTGTTCCTCATCTTCATCCTCTTCCAGGTTGGTGTGTAGATGATATCAATACCTCGATGGGCTGAACCACTCGCCCTTGAACAGTCACTGATGTAGGGAAAAACAAATAGCAATCACATGCACACATAAAAAAGGGTTTCATTTACAGCACATGCTGGTCCTTCTCGGGTACAGTGACGCAATCTCCGCTCCCAGAACAAGGCAGCAGAATTATTTTCATATTCACATTGACCTCTTAGTTTAGATCGTGGACTAGTGTCCACAAATCAAAGGAAAGGAAATCCTCTATTAAAATCAGTAATAAGCTCCTTCTCAGGGAGAATAAGCACTGATAGTGTGTATACTGATAGTTTCTATACTGATAGTTTCTATACTTCTTCCTCGCCCGTTATCCAGACGGTGCACGATGGACGACAGTTCATGAAGTACATTGACCCCAAGCTTGGGGTTGCCCTCCCGGAGCGTGACTATGGAGGAAACTGTCATTTTTACGACCCAGGCAACACCACCGACCCCTTCCACAACATCTGGGTAAGACGTTTTATTTGATGTCACAGATGCACCTGGTTGACAGGTTGTATGTCTCATTTGTGAGTGAACAAGTTTTCAGCTTTGTCGTTCTGTTTGAAAGACATTTTGAGTATGCAGTACCATTTATATAGTATTGAAGAAGTGAAATGACTTGGTCCTTAATTATTACTAAAAAGAAAAAAGACCCAGATCTCAAATAGCATGGCAGCCTAAATGAATCTCTTTCTTTCCCTCTTTCATCCACACACTCGCTCTCCTTTTGACTCTAGTTCCCCCTCCATGTCCCGTCCCTCTTTCACTCTCTCTCTCTCTCTCTCTTTATCCCTCATACACACACGCACAAACTCCTAGTTAGTGTGGCTGTGTGCTGACTGGCTCCAGAAGCTTGTGTCTGGTGCAGGTTATAGCCTGTCGGTAGAACCAGGCCTTCTCTCGCCCTGGCGAAGCAGTCTGCTGCTGCCGCCATAATGACCCAGTCCACATCTCTACTGTTGGCCTGATTTCAGTCTCTGAGAGTGGGTCAGACTCTCCACTACATTATAGCCAACGTATGTGAATAACCTTTTGGAAACGTCAGTTTATGAGCAAATATTTAGAGGAAAAAAAAACAAGATTTTGAGTTGTAGACAATTTTGGACTTGAAGGTAAAAGAACATAACACAACCTAAAATGACTTGGGATAAAAGTAATGAATATAAATGTAATGTGGTTGAACTAAGCTGTTTAAAAACACAGAGGAGAACTGATTTTGGATGTATTTTATTCCTGTGCTTTATGATGACTAGCTGAGTTCTGTCCTGTTCTCTGACTGAGTACTCGCTGTGCTCACGTCTGGTTGGTACCAATGTGAACTAGATGTGCTCACTGAGAACATAGAGAAATGTAGTTCAGAGTAGAGCTGCAACTAATGATTATTTTCATTAATGAGTCATCTGTTGATTATTTTACAGATTTGTTGTTAGTGAAAAATATTGTGTGTAAGGACTGACTTTGTTAAATGACCATGTTGGTTTGTCTCTACAGGACAAGATGGACGGCTTTGTTCCAGCTCACTTCCTGGGATGGTACATCAAGGTATGTATGGAGAAGGCTTAACACAACTTCAACTATACTGTTATTGTCCAATGATGTATTAAAGACCAGCCTGTCTGATTTTCACCTGCTCAATCTTAATAAACATCATGAAAGCAGCTGAGCATGTGACATAAAAAAGCTTATATGCGTCAGTCAGTCTTGTTAGCATGGGAATGACAACAATCTCTTCGCCAATGATTACAGATTACACACATTTCAATATAGTGAAGAGCAAGAGATTTTCATCAAACTGACTCATTGCAAGCACCTTAATCATTAAATACCAACTCGTGTGTTATTAATGTATTGGGATAAAACCTGTTATTTATTGGCTGCTGTTAAAATAGACATCTACGGTGTTGAGCCTGCTGCTGTATGAAACAGACTGACAGCGCTGGTATGCTCTGTTGCATTTTCAGCAATGAGAAAAGTTTCTCTCTACAGTATCTTGTTGACCTCCTCCCACTCCACACCATTCACCCCCCCCCCCCCTTTGTTCTGTTTCCATCCTCAGACTCTGATGATTCGCGATTGGTGGATGTGTATGATAATCAGTGTCATGTTCGAGTTCCTGGAATACAGCCTGGAGCACCAGTTACCTAACTTCTCTGAGTGCTGGTGGGACCATGTACGTACCAATATCGCTGCTCTTCTCCTCTGCCCACCTAAGAATCAACAGGTCTGCCCTCAGAGTGGTGTTACATTTAAATGTGCTGCAGTGAACAAACAAACTCCAGTTGTGTTTGTCCAAATGTGGCCACATTAGCTGGAGATACTGGTGAGAAACGGACATGACTTGTACAAAAACGTAGACGTAAACAAACAAAAATAAAACATGGTTGCATATTGACCAGTTGCAGACATCGGAGGGTTGGGGTGAAGTGAACGAGGCTGTTAGAAATTCTTCAGTATGTCTGGAACTCGGCTTCTCACGAGCTCTTCAGCAGGACGGATTGGTCAACTTCTCACCGTGTACTGAAATTGCTCAACTTTGCAAAGGTCACTGTCCTTCTGAGCTGGTGAAAGCACAATGTGGAGCAGTGTCTGTCGTGGGGAGTTAAAGGAAGCATCGATATTTTTGTGGTCTCCTGCTACCTGATGCCTGCCGGTGCAGTGTTCTGCAAGTCTGCTGTTGAGATTTATGGGAGCAATTAAAGTGGTCATTTGTTTGAGTGATAAGAACCTTTTTATTGTGCAAGTGGGAAACTAGGCGGTTGAAGCAAAAACAAGTGATAGCAGAGGAAATCATCTAAACTATTATAAAGCAATAGAGCGACATAATAGAATGTGAACAGATAAGTAGTGGGGTATTAAAGAAGGACGCGCTGTTGACTGTAATAACACATATTAGGTAGACCGCGTCAATAGAAAGTCAGCTCAGTTACTTAAGTTGCCACACAAACAGCATATTGACAGTAAATATGGATTACAGTACAAGTTTATGCTTAATGGTATGTCATTTACTAAATATGGTTTGTCTTTTTAAGAGAGAGAAACAATTCTGAACACAAAAGTCTTTGGTGCCTCAGACGACGTACATCATAAATCAGGTTTAAGTTGTGAGAGGCTATGCTGGGATTTATTTTCTAAGGTCACCAAACACCAGGGTGTTAAAGGAATGCTGAAGTGTGAGTTTTCCCTCCCAGCCTGTAACAAAACTAGTGGACGAGTCGAGGAGATCTGTTTCCGCCGTCGCCCACACCGTCCTAAGAAAAGGTTTAATCTAGCAAACTGGTGTAGGTGGATCACAGATGATGTTTTTTAATGTTTGAACTTTTTTTTTTTTTTTTTCTTAAACTGTTATGTTTATCTCCCTCTAGTGGATCATGGATGTGTTGGTGTGTAACGGTCTGGGGATCTACTGTGGCATGAAGGCCCTGGCCTGGTTGTCGATGAAGCCCTACCAGTGGCAGGGCCTGTGGAACATTCCTACATACAAGTACGAGTTAACATTCGCTGCACCAAACACTGGAAACAGGAAGGAAGATGTATTAAATGTGTTAATGTGATTAACTCACCATCAGAACTCTACTCTTACAGAACTGAAACCACAACATTTTAACAATGTATGCTATGTATTTAAGTGTATTTCTTGAACTTAACTCCACACTTATTGTGTCTGTTGTGTGACAGATATAATGTTCACGTTTAACGATATTGACTCATTTTTGACAGAACTTCTTTGTTGACATTTCAAATATGGTGAAATAGTGGGGTGGTATTGCCCCTTTTAATTCCAGTAAGTACTACCGTTGCCGTGTTAGAAATGTATGTACATTTATTTCTCACCATATCTCCTCTGTGGCCTCTCTCAGGGGGAAGATAAAGCGTATCGCATTCCAGTTCACGCCGTACAGCTGGGTGAAGTTTGAGTGGAAGCCTGCTTCAAACCTTCGTCGCTGGCTTGCTGTGTTAGGCATCATCTTTATGGTAAGAAACATCCTGTTCTGTTTATTGACATGAGAAGAGTGGACAATTTATCATAATGGAAAGCAAGAATAGGATTACATTACAAGGAAAAATAGTGAAAATGTAATATTGAGCTCTCGGAAGCTCTAAGCTTCTATGAGCTACACAATATAGGTTTTTTTTTAAGACATCACTTTGTTCTCAGCTTCTTCCTGAAGCTATTTAGCTACATCGATTCTGCATTTGTCATTTTTGATTGATTTAATAACTTCAGTATATATTGATATATCAAAACAGTCGCTTCCCACAGATAAGGATATACTTCCACAGCTGGTGCAGGGCACAAGTGACGTCCTATTCTGTTATCTTGAAGTCATTCCATTCTCAGTGCTCCTAAATTAAGACAAATGTTATTTGATCTCCTCCTTTCCCAGTTCCTCCTGGCAGAGCTGAACACCTTCTACCTGAAGTTTGTGTTGTGGATGCCTCCTGAACACTACCTGGTGCTGCTCCGCCTGGTCTTTTTTGTCAACGTTGGAGGCGTAGCCATGAGGGAAATCTACGACTTCATGGATGACCCGTGAGTAGCAGCTGTTGGGGGATAAAGGGGTTCGTTACTGAGTGAAACCTTTCAACCACACACTTTTGTTGCTTTGTATGTATAGTGTTGTTTTATCTTTTTGTGCAGGTGTGTAACCTTGAGCGCTACTATGCTATAAATGTGTCTCGTAGGTGCTTACCTGTAAACAGTGAAAAACATTCTCACTTTTCCGTAAAAACACTTTTCTTTTGTAATTTTCTGCACAGGAAGTTCCACAAGAAGCTTGGCCAGCAGGCGTGGCTGGTGGCAGCCATCACGGTGACAGAGTTCCTCATTGTGGTCAAGTATGATCCCAACACCATCATGCTGCCCATCCCCTTCGTCGTCACGCAGTGCTGGTTCTTAGGAATCTTCCTCATCTTTACCTGGACCCTGTGGCGGTTTTTCATCCGGTAAGAAGTGGGGTGGGCTACTATGCAGGGGGGGGGGGGGTACAAAGCTGCTGTAAAGACATAAGACATGGAAATTATAAAACTCTGTGCTCATTCGATTCAGGTAATGAAATAATCCAGATTTAGTTTTCAGTTGATATGCGGATTATAATAGCCATGCAAAGTGTGCAAAACAGGAAGAGAATGTGTGATAGAGATACAAACTATAAAGAAAGCTTTCACACACTTCAGGTTCAAATGTTTCGTATGCGTTTACAGTCGGGTAACACCGTCTTTAATAAATAACCATTTCTTCTCAGTCACTGTTGCAAAAAATACAGTTTAATCAATTTAATTTCATGAACATGGTTTCATGTGCTTTTGATCCCATCCAATGGGATTTCTTTTATCAATTTTTCCTTATGACCTCATGCAGCAATATATTTTAGGTGACGTCTGCTTTGGTTCCCTCTTCTGTTGAGTCGTGTTCCTGTTGAGCATAGCCGTTCCCCCAGCATGTTAAGCTTCTGGTCTATTTTCTCCTCTCCCATCCTCCCTCCCTTTCTCCTTCCTGCTCATGCTCAGCAGTAATGTCTGTGTCCGGTGAGGTAGGTATAGGAGAGAGGCGCTCCCTTCTGTCAGCACTGTTGTATTCCGTTTTATTTCCCCTCTTATTACATCACTGTTTGGATCCATAGTCGTATTCAGAAGATCTGTGGGATCCTCTAGACAACACAGATATTACTCCACATGGGTCCTTCTCCCGCATGGCACTTTTCAGTTTGTTTTTTTTTTTGTTTTTTTTCTGTGGCGAACATTGTCATCTTTATTTTCACATCATTTTTGTTCTTAGCAGTCAGTTAAGTAATACAGAAGACTATCAGCTTGTGCGGACACTGTAGGAGCTCATTGAGAGACAGCCAGAGGAAATGTTTGCACACCTCACACACACCCTACGTACCAGTCAGCATGAAAACCAGTGCAGGACGTCAGGCACGGAAGCATGCCATGTTCTAGCTACTCAGACCTGGGAGAAATCCTGTTTGCCAATAGTTTGAATGGTTTTTGTTTTAGCTTTCTTTGGTTACATAAAGGCTGGCTTTACCCCAATAGAGATTATGTTGTTGTTTTTTTAAAGGTAAATATATATTCTGTCTCATTGATCATCGTTGCTGCAGCGAACCCAATTTGTCTGCCAACCCAAGCAGCATGAAACAAACGCACAGTTATCTGCAAATACTATTTGACCCAGCTGTACAGGCTCAGGTGTGTCATGTCCCTCTCTATAGCATTAGCATCAGCAGAGTACGGTGAGTATTGTGGGGATGTTTCACTTCACCTACTCTATTAAGTGTGCTGGAGAGTCTCATCAGGACCATTAATGAGTCCGTGTCACTGACTGTTGTCAAACTGACCCTCATCCTGATCTGGAATAGATAAAAGACATATAAACAGGACTGCCACATCCACAGAGGTTGCAAAATTAGACATTTTAATTTATTAGTCACAACCTGTAGAATATTATGCAATAAAGAAAGCCAAGGTTTTGTTGTGGATTGTCCCTGAAAGACCTGGACACTGATATTTGATGCATCACTGTACAGGGGATTGCCAACCTACTTGGACTTCTGTCTTTTTCTATGACGATGTATTTCATGGTGTGTGTTTAAGAGATGTAATTCATTGTTAAGAGAGAAGGTGAGGTAGCTCATCATTACCTTAAAACAAAGTAAATGTGTTCTCATCGCACTGTTTCAACAAGTAAAATGGTTATTTTATATTATTATATTTCAACAAATGAAAGGCACTGAAATCGGCTTCCGTATCTGCAGATGATTTAGATTTGATCTCGTTTGTGAGGTAGTTGTGAATGAGGAGGAACAGAAAGCAGTCGGGAGGAACTGTTCCCAAAGTGGGTTTTCTATTAATAAGTGTGTCTACATTTCTTCACTCTTCTTACAGGGACATCACGCTCCGTTACAAAGAGACCCGTCAACGCAAACAGGAAGTCCCCGCGGACAGGGACCGTCCTCTGGGCAACGGCAGCACAGCCACCCCGTCTGGGCGGAGCAAACTGAACGGCAGCTCCGAGACGGTGCGGCAGCGGAAGTCCTGAGGAGGGAGTCGTATCCGGTCTGTTGGGTGTGACTGAAGGGGAAAGGTCAAGGTTTGATTTGGGGGGGGGGGGGACGAAACGAGACGACTGAAGGAGATTCGTGACTAAAAGACACACATAGAGCCAAACAGACGGACATGTGTATGTGCTGTGTTGACTTCTTTTTGTGCCTACATGAACCCAGTTGTCATTCAACAGAGGCGGGGGTTGGAATCGGGCAATTTTCATTCTGTGAATTGTCAAGTTATTGTCTTACTACAGGGATTTACCTCATTCAAATTTTTAAGAGCATTTGGGGAATTACACACAGATACATTTTTGTTTTATTCAAACATTTTGGACGTCGGGTCAGCGTTGAATCAAAGAGGGAAACTAGTGGAAGGAGGGATATAGGTGACCAGGGAAGTAGATAGACTTGTGACCAATAATACACAGCAGTTCTCTATTTTCTTCATTGCCCTCTCTATCATTGAAAAGAAGAAACATGCCCGCCGCTGTAAATATGCTTCGTTCTGTGTGTTCTGTGCGGGGAGTATTCGCAGCAGTTGTGCGTTTTCTGTAGGTGTAGGTAACTGATGTTCAGTGTCAACCTGGGATTTTGGCCACAATATTGCCAATAAGCTGTTGGAATGGAGCTTGCTTAATGATAGTTGTTCATTTTCTTAGGTTTCGTTGTTTACAGTTCAGGTTGTCATTCCTGGGAGAACCGAGCCGAGAGGTCCTTGTAACTGCTGGGGATCCTCGCTCAGTCTGACACAGAAAGGAAAAACTGGCGAAAGCCTTCAGCTCCTCTCTGGTTTTGTTCTTAAAAAAAACACAAAAAACTTTGTTTAGAATAAATCAATATGTACCCATATTCTAATTATTTAACTGCTGATTATACTTGATATACGGGGTTATTTGTCAATGTTTTCTGATCATTATTGTTATTTCTTTAGGGTAAAGCGATGATGAACACTAGATTGTACTCAATTTCCTATTTTGGGAAACGAGGCACTGAGAAATCTGCAGCACTCTAGCGAACACATCCGTGACAATCGCACGTATAGAAAAGATGTGCTCCATTGTGACCCAGACCTGCTGGCTCAAATACAGCAAAGCAACGACTGGCAGAGATCTGGACCTTCCTCCACTGCTACAGGATTGAATAATACAAGGCTGGGCTCAACTGATTAAGTCACATCACACTGTGACTTTAATGCCAAATGCTTTTCATTTCCTTTAATTTTATTAAAAATCTCATGCTCTGCTGTGTCCGAGTTAGCTCAAACAAAATGAAAACCAACCTTTTCATCAGAGGGGGGGGCGGGGGGAAATGAAGGTTTAGGTTTTGGTTTGGGAAGAGAAGCATCCTTTTCCAGCTCTGTGGGTTTGCCATATTGCACATGCAGCAAGCCAAAGCTTAGATCCCATTCTTGCTAAAGCCATGAATGCCACTCAGACCCACGTGAGCTGCTCCAACAGCTGTTAAACCTCATTCAGATTCCTTTTCATTTCAACTGAAGCGGAGCCCCAAAGCCATCGGGATCGTGTCACGTCAGCAAACGCGTCTTTATTTTCTGAAAAGGAAATTGACATCTGGAGGTCAGACCTTTGAAAACAAATTGACTTCGACTGAACTCCGACCTCAATGTCTGTCTAAATATGTGTAATCATCTCGGTAGTTTTCAGTTACATAGTCAGTTACGAAAGTTGTTATGACTGAAAGTTAACCAGCAACTATTTTGACTGTTTGACAGACGTACCAGATATTTGAAGAGAAGTATGAATCATTAAATAGACATTGTCCATTTTTTTTCTGACCGTATATAGACAAAATGAGTTTAGAAAATAATCTATAGATTAAGTGATGATTAGCTAGTTGCAGCTTAAGATGTTCTGAACTTTTCAGAATGCTACAAAAAAGAATAAGCTTTTTACGCTGAAGTCCAACTGAACATACCACTGTTGCGTTCCAGTCCGGTTGGACATCCTCTGTTCCCTAACGTGTCCCTCAGAGAGCGTTAGTCTTTGTCCTGTTCAGGTCTTGTGGCTGTTAGAGAATCAGCTGTAAATGTCACTCATTGTGTCCCAGTGGCTACACACACTACGTAGTTGAAGACAGTAGTAGATGACATCTGTGAATCTAGGCTGACAATACAGTAATTATCTCGTGAATGTAACTCAGCAGAATCTGCAGTTCAAATGAGGGGGTCTGTTCATTATGCATCAGTTTATTTTGCCATAAACACCAAACCAAAGTTTGTCGAGGCTCATGTTCACGCTCCTCCAGGCTGTAACTGTTTGCATCTGTTCTCCCTCTTCTTTGAATACAGAGATTGCTGTGCAAATTTAAAAACCCTAAAAGCAATGTTAGGCTGATAAGTCAAAGTTTGTTCTTGTTATCCTGTGCTGTGCATATTCAGTTGCTTGTGAACTTGGTAGAAGTTCAGGAAGTTCCCTCCTTTCTTCCATGGAAGCCTTTTAGTCGGGGGGGGGGGGGAGCTGGGGTTTCTGTGTACCTGCGTCCGTGCTTAAACCAACCCACGCCGTGAATTTGCACATCAGCTCTGAAATCACAACATTTGGAATTCAGAAACTGAACTCATTAATGAGCAGGTGGGATGAAATAAAAAGGACATTTTCCTTAAGTGTTTAAGGGTTCTGTGTAATTTCACTTGCATCCACATGGGGGCAATAGCTGTTCTGTTCTTGTCTCCATGGTCATCAATGTGAACATCGTAAAGATCTTAAAAACTGAAATATGCTGCTGCGCCACATCATTTTATAATGTTTTCAATAAAATTTACTGAAAACCTGAATTTAGTGTGCTTTGTATGTTTCCGTGCTGACAGCCGCGTCGTGCCAAGTCTCGTGAAAGTGATCTCTCGGGAACACTTGGAGGGGATTTCATTACATCTGGCACACACACACTTGGGACTCAAGGATGAATTGATTTGAATTTGTTGGTCAAATGTCATTGTGACCTCATAAAACACGTTTGGCTCGAGAACTCACACGCTGGTTATTCAGATTTCATAGCGATGGCGAGATGAGGCTTCATGCGGTGAAGCTTTCCAGCAAATATTACTTTTTTTCGACATAATATACTATGACTTTTTATGATTTAAAAATATATACTTTGACTTTTTTCAACAGGGAGGGAAGGAGGGAGACACACACAACCAAGCCAATTAACAAAATATTTTATTTAAACTAACAGCGACACGCATGAGTGTTAGTGCAAAGTTGTAAGGTGCAGCAACAAGACAAAAACATCCCAAAACCAAAAGGCTGTCTCAGGGAGGAGAGAGACAGCAACTAAGCTTTTCAACCCTCATGTGGTGATGACCCTCTTCCACTCTCACCTCCAGTACCTGCAGAGAAAGCAGCCACACACATCAAACAGGACAATACTATGACACTGTCTATGGCATACGATACAATGTTTTTTTCATGCCTCTTCAAATTTGGCACAAACGTCAAGTTGGATGTCACTGACCACACAGGAGACATTTTTGGTCGTAACTAAAGCATTCATTCATTAGACAATTTGACAAGTGACTTATAGGATAAAATGAAGCGACATTTTTGGTGTGTGTTGGTGTACATTTTCTGTCACCATGCAGACAAATATTTCACTGACAAAGCAAACTGGGTGGACAAGCAGATGATCGTCATGAAAACCCAGAACCATGCACTCCACTTATACTATACCAACAGCACTATAATCAAGCTTACTGTGGCTGATTTACGTTAATATATTTTGGAGCCGTCTTGTCTTTGCAATAGTACAAAACGTTCATTCTTTCAGCAGCTACAGTTCTTTCCATTGAGCAGGTTTCCCATTGATCAAAGGGTTGGTGGTTCAATCACCAGTCTGCGTGTTAGTGGCTTTAACCAAGACACTAAATCCCACACCATTCCCAATGAGTGGGATGTCTTCAATGGTGATTGTGTGCATTGACTCAATTTTGATTGTGTGCATTGAATGCATTGAATGAGGAACATAAAGTGCTTTGGTTCATTTTGGGGTTGGTAAATCGATTTCACAGTTCAATTCCAAAGGAAACTTATTGTGACACGACTGTATAATTTGGCGTTTGTTCAGTTAAACTGAAATTCAAAATGTTTCTACACGCAAGTCAACATGTATGATGATTAAATACTTACTTTGGTTTAAAAGGAGCAGTTCTTTAAAGGAAATATGTTTAATAAAAATAAAAAAAGTACATTTGTCTATGTTCCCTATAATTGGTGCCAAATGACAGATATTGTTTTATGTATGGAAGATTAGTCCTAGTCCCCAAAACATGAAATAACCAGTTTTGATTTAGTTTATTGGAGAATGTATTCAACAAGGAGTCCATTAAATTCATGATGACGAGCAGCGAAGTCCCACTTCTCCTTTATTGCATAGTTCCAAACATCTTCAACCTGAATAATCTTGCATAGCCCGGTAAACTGTGATTAACCCCCACGCAGGAAGAAAAGTGATCCCGTCATGAGATGCACTTAACTCCATAAATAGTTCACACAAAGCTGCGTGTAGTGCAATCATCAGCACCGTTTAAACTCTCTGGACTCCCTGAAGCAGCTGGAGAGCATTTAAGTAAAGAACTCCTAAAAGCATTGCAACATGCTGTTACAACAGACGCAAAGCGGTGCAGTGAATATACTCGAAGCCTGGACATGAGAATGCATAGTGTGGTGCAGCGGTGTGTAACGGGAATCATGTCACAGTCAAAATACAAGAGCGACAACATTTTGACCTCTCGACGGCTTACATGTTGTTTATCTGATTTATGCCTGAGATCTTCCTCTGAAAATGTACCACTGCCACTTTGGTTAAAAGGTAAAAAAATAAATATAATCAGCCTGGCCAGCTGGATATTATTTGGTGATTTTAGAGTAAAAGGCACGACTGTTCTTCAAAACAAGGTGGAATCAAATCTAACAGTAAAAATGTGCAAAATTGAGTCAACTTGCTCAGGCTCATCCCACACCTTGAGGGATGTTAACATCTCTAAATCACAGCTCAAAACACACATTTATAGAAAAGTTTGCAGAATATAAAAACTGGCACTAAAGTAGACAAATTCCAAACCGACTAATCAGTAATTAAGTGATGGTTAGCGTGCATTAACAATCATAAAAACTGCCTATTTTCAAGGTCCAAGAAAGTTGACTTTTGAAAGATAACTTCATCATATTTCTATGAGCGGACCAGTTTGAAGCCTTGGCCAGTGTCCAGGATCGCTGGTGGAAACAAGTTTAGTTTGACTCTCTTAAGATATCGCAGCCAGATAGTGCAGAGCCACGGCTCATCGGACTGCCACACGCTAGCCAAAGAGTGTACCACTGGGTAGGTCATCCGAGGGAAGTACATGCTCCAGTAGTTGGTACGGTCGCTTCCTGTCGGTAGGTGCAGCGTGTAGTCGCTCCAGTATTTGGAGATACCGTAGGTGGCTAAAACCGTCCTGCCCGTCTCCGACCACTGGACGTTGCTGTTTGAGTTGCAGTTAAACTCCACCCACTGAGAGGTGAAGTCTCCGAGCTGCGGCGCATCCTGATGCTCGCCATCGGTCACCAGAGTGAGCGTCGCTCCCTGCACGGCGACGTACAGACCCTCCACCTTCTTCACCGCGTCCACCCACGGCAAAGAGCGGTTACAGTCGAGCACAAAGATGAGGCGAGAGCAGAAGCTGCCGTTGCTCTCCCTCCACCACTCAAGGATCTGATCCAGGCGAAGAGTGTGTCCTCCTGATGAGCAACACAGAAACCAGCTCAGTCAAAATCACAATATTAGATATATCTATATTATATATAGTCATAGTATAGTTTACCATAAACCACCTTAGCCCAAACGCACTTGCCCCACTCAAATGAATGGGAGGACAGGACCCTGATCTGCTGTGAATGCAGCATCAGGCCCACTTAAGTTGGGCTGAGTTATTCTCATTTTAGTGACAAGCTGCTCCTCTAAGTCTTGCACACCATCTTGTAATTGACGTAACTCTGATTCGATCAATAAATCAACCTTTCTAACTGCTTCAACTTGATTCCCCCCTCTCACCTGCGAGGACCCACTCTCCGGAGTGGTGACTGTGGCCGCTGTAGAAGATCACGTAGGTGTCGTGGCGAGGTCCGTCTGCCGTGCGAAGCTCAAAGAAGGCTTTGATCTTTGCCTGCATCGCCTCCCGGGTCACCCCGCAGGTGAAATAGTCGCAGCCAAAAATCTCGATGAAGTGGTGGGCAAAGAAGCGCTGAATGTTGTTCAACATGCCCGTCGAGCGCTTGTTCAGCTCCTGAACCTGGCTTGGAGGCAGCAGCATGGGCTGGCCGTCAAGACTACGAGGCAGAGAAAAAGGAAAACAGGAGGAGGAAGGAGGATGAGTTGTGTCTATTTAGGTCAGTCACTCGGCACAAGTCAGGGAATGAGACAAAGACAACTCTACGAATACACAATGGAACTCTTTCACTAATACGTGCACAGAAATGTTCTTAATTTGCGCAAAAAACAAGTGCCCATGCACAATTAGCTTCCGACAATCATGCCACGTTCAACTTTGTTCTTACCACCGACACATTTTGCAAGAATGTAGTATTTGCCTGCAAACAAAATGTTAATTATAAATGTTTTTAAACTTGAATCACTCTTCAGGAAACGGTACAGAATAGCTGCGTCTTACTGTTATCTGGCACTTCAAATATCAGGATTAATACAATTGATTTAAAGCTGGGGGAACGGTCCTCATCTTATGGGATGTTTTTTGTGTCGACTACTACTCTGGTAGAGCCATACGGTAGATCTGGCTTGTATGCTTCATACACTACCTGCAGAAGTTGGTGGGGATGACCAATGCGTAGCCCACACAGGTTCCTCCTAGGCTGTTCCCGAGCTCGTGGAACAGCCCGTGAAACAGAGACTCCAGAGGCAGGACGAGCAGGAAGACGCTCAGAAAGACACTGCTGGAGGCCTGCGGAGCACAGTCACGAAGCAAATACATGTTGGTGTTACACAGAGTAAGAAAGAATGAAAGAAATGCTGTGGAAGAAACGGCAACATGCATCGCATTTACATGAAAACAGAATATAATTAACAGCTGAGAACAAGAATATGCTCCTAACTACACAAGCTCTGCATGTCATTTAAAAACATTAAATATAAATGTACATTCTTAGATTCTCAGACTTGTCCCATTGTCCAAACCAGTGGTTCCCAACCTGAGGTTCAGGACCCCGACAAGGGTTCTCAAGATAAACCTGAGGGGTCACAAAAAAATATTTTTTTCTGCTTTGCAAAATGACATTTACTTTTCAGACTTTTCTTTTTCTTGTGGATTGATGGGAAATCATAGACAACAGCAGCCAGTGGGTCCCAAGTAAACACTGCTGGTCTTAGAAGACAAAGAAAATACCCACACACCGCTAACGTGTTGTTCTTTTGTTCTACATGGACACAACAATGTTTTGAGCAAATCCTCCTCCTCGGGTCACCTGAACCACAAACGCTTTTTTTGCCAGAGGACATGGACGAAATATTGTCGTGTTCATGTCCCTGTAGGAAGAAAAAGGAAAACTTAACAGATAGCAATGTATGGGTATTTGTTCATTGTTTTGTCGTTTAAATTCCCAATATTGTAATTCTGTTTTTGTGCTCACAGCATTTCCAAACTTGCCACAGATTGTATTTACAGAGGGCCCTGTGGTGTTCAGCTGATCTGTGGATCTCTGTACAAATGTAAGATATATGTCGTCTTGCTTGCCCCCTACCTGCCAACAAAGTGCGGCAACAGCAACAGTTGACACCAGCGACCACACCACCAGGTGCTGAGAGATGAGGCAGACATGCCTCATGCCCTTTGAGGCCATACTCTTGTTCAGGCCGCCGACCCCTGACCCCTGGGTTAAGCACAGCCTCTGGCATTCACTGAGCTTGGTGTGAAAGCCCCACACCAGGATGACCAACACCATGTGGCAGAAGGCCCAGAAGAGCCCAAAGAACACAAAGCCCGGGATCGTCAAGTACCACCGGTCCATGTCTCTCAGCTTCTGAGCGGCAAGAATGATGAAGATCACCTCCACCACCGTCAGAGGGAGGAGGGACAGCCGGCGCCACAGGCCCCGACACGCCAGGAAAGGCTGCCACCGCTCGGTCACAGAGAGACCACTTAAGAAGACATCCAGCAGAGGGTCGCAGATGAGCTGGCTGAAGAAGCAGGCGAGGGCGAAAGGGTTGGTGGAGATGTTCAGAGACTCGAAGAACAGCGCGGCGGCGACGGCGACGAAGCAGACCAAGTTGGGAAGAGCCAGGAAAGCCTTCACCCGGAGGGCCACCATGACCGCGGCCAGCGCCGCCACCAGCACCGTCACGCTCACGGAGTCCCGGATGAGCAACGTGGTGCTGGCAGCGGCGAAGCCGACCATCTCCAGCCGCTCCGCTGAGGTGAGGAAGGCGGGACGGTACGTGGTGCATCCGAACAGTCTCTCCAGCAGCGCCCGCAGCGTCCTCAAACACACGCTGGCCAGCAGCAGGTAGTCGGCCGCCTGCGCCTTCACGTCGCTCTGCAGAGCCGGGCTGCTGAGGAAACACTGCGATCCCAGCAAGAAACCGAACCACAGGTGGAGGAGACCGAGGCTGAGCCTCTCCACGCGGAGGTAGCAGTACAGTACACTCGCTATTCCGAGGGCGAGTAGAGCCAAAACGAAAATGACAAGAAGAGTGGTCTCCGCGGTCTTCTCCCACCGGGCATAGAGCCCCAACAACAGGGCGACCACAAGGATGTGCCTGGACAGGTAGCCGAGCCACCGAACAGACGGCCGCAGGCTCCCCTCCTCTACGTTGACATCATTGAGTCGGGCCATCGCTGCACGGAGAGAGTGGCTGACACAGTACCGTAGAAAACCACACATCTTGACAAGAACGACTGACTATCCAAAGTCCCGAAATAGGAAGTTTAAACGAGTTGCAGTCGATTTATTCTCCGTTATGGCGTTTTAAATCCGGCTCGTTAACTAGCTAGCGAACCTGTTGAACGTGTGGCTAGCTTAAGCACCGTTAGCTACTAGCGGTTCATTTTCACTCCGAAATAGTTACATGTTGATGATTCACGTTGTTTGTATTCCTTTTCATCTGATGCCCGATGCGAGTTTAATGGGTCTTAACTTTGAAGCGCCCTGAAACCAGCTGCCAGGATAGGGAAATACATTTCCGCTGAAAAGTTTGTCGCGTCAAAAGTTTCGAGTTGACAGGACGCAATGACGCTGCCTGGCTTTGACTACTACGGCAAGTCTTAAGGGTCAAAACTGTTTTACCATCGGTAAAGGCATAAAGCGTTTTTAAATGCTTTTTAGCCCTTGACCGCAAAAGTTTAAACTCAATGTTTACTTACGTTTTCCGGAGCTTTCAACCGCATCTCACATAGAGCTTCAGTGGAGATTTAGGGGACAAGGGTTTACTTTAACTCTGAATAATATTCAATTAAGCAGGAGCTGTTAAAGGCCCAGTCTGTGCTCAAAATGTAAGCAAATAGGGGCAACAGGGCAATAGTTTGAAATAAAAAATAAAACCAATCTTATATTTACAAGTCTGTAAAATTGCCTTTAAATTTCTGTATTTTTCTTACTTGTATTACTTTGTTAGACTCAAGTCAAATACTAAGTTTCGAGTGTAAACTTTCATCACCAAAAAAAGACATAGCCTCAGTGTGAAAATGGCCTTAAAGTCTATGTATAGAAACAAAGTCATCCCATATAAGTTCCTACTTTATTCATGTTTTTAAACAGCTACTGATGTTGACAAATATTGTTTATGTATTAAAAGACCTGTCAATAAATGTCCCTCTCAATCTCCTGAATCGCAACTGCCTCTTCATAACTCCATAAGCAGAGCAGTATTGTAAGTGTTTAAAAATAAAAACACAGAGGCACCATGCATTTACATTCATTTATAAAAGAGAAATACAACCATACAATAAGCACACATTGTTCTGCATTGTTGAAAATGTTGATAATGAAGATGAAACAACTCATGCAAATGCACCTAAAGAAACATTGGAAGACAAAAGCACCCATTCACAAAACTTCATATTCTGAATTTGTGTGGTACTGCGACATGTTTTTTCTTCTGTTAATGCAGAGAAGATATAAGCAGAGAGATGTGCATTAACTAGAAAATGAGATGGGAATGGGAACAACACACTGCATTACATCAACGCTGGAAATGTTTCATGGTAGCCATTAATATGACAGAGAACTGGACAGTTAGCTTACACTACGTGGCCAGAGAAACTTGATATCTTTCCGTTTAAAAAAAAAAAAAAGGTAGGAGTTCCACTTTCTCCAGGGGCATGAAAATCCGCTTGCAATATACAGTATATGCGAACAAAGAAGGCACCTTTTAGACTTACTGTTATCTCGCGGGCCCATCATATTGGTTGCAAAACTGTCATCATAGGAAAATAATTACATTTTTGTGACACCCTTTGGGATCAATGATAAAGTGCCACTGACAATAACACAACGTAAATTCAGTCTTTCATTCACAACTGACAAATCCAACCACACCCACACATTCAGCCCGCAGAGGGACGGGCTGGAACACACACTGGCATCTCATCTGGTAGTGTCTTCAGCTAAAACCCTCCCATCGGCAGACACGGCATCTTCAGACCCGTTCTCGCTTGCTATTGCTAAAATCTACAGTTTCTCCCCTGTCTCAGAGGTTCTGTATGACAAAATAGTGAATTAGTGCAAATCTCTTCTGTCAAGGAGAATTTTCTGTGAGGAGCTCATATCTGGATGTTCTTGTTTAGGCAGAGTACTTACTGTAATTTCACATCAAAGTTACAAAATTGTGTCAAAGGATACTGGTGCTTTAAAGTCCGTTTGATGTGGGTCAACGGCTCGCAGTGTTGGACTACGTCTCCGCTAGAGACCACGGAAGCTAACAGGAGATAATTAAGTCGTAATATTTGTGAGGACAACGAGAGGTGGGGAAAAAAAGTCTAACACCTACTTTGAAACACTCGTACCTTGTTACACAATGAGTAACCACAGTTACAGTTTCACATTAGTAAACCTAGTAATACTCCTACCGTATGGTTCTGAAAATGTTTAAAATGCTACAAATACCACTTTCTTGTAAAAAGATACACAAATCATTCAGAGGATGGCAAGTTAAAATGGCATTGCCACACTTTACACCGGACAACACCAATGTTTTTGACTGTTGTAGAGAATATATATATATATATATATATATATATATATATATATTTCAAAACACTGTACTTATTTTTGTCTTGGAAAACTAAAACGCACATCAAGAATGTTCAGGAAGTCTAGCTGCATGACTGGGACAGAAGCAAGCGTACCAGTCCAGTCGTTCCATCTCAGTCTCTCCAGTGCAATCAAACTCCTGTCGGACTGCTGGGGTTGCTGTGTATTTGTCTTTTGTACTAAGCAGCCTGCCACACTAGCTTATCAAATAGAGACCGAGGACAGAATGCAGACACGCTGACTTTAGTTATTGAAAGCTGATTGAAAGATTGCATGGAAATTAAGGAGCAGGGAGTTTAGATATCTTGGGGGCATTCACTTTCCCAACTCTTTAACTCTTTAAAAAACCTATATATTTATCAAAATATATCCATCTTAGTGTGTGGGTGTGTATGTGTACTCTCAGAGGAGTGTGGATATGAGAAAATAATCTGTAAACTTCTCGCTTTCGCACTGTGCAAACTGCATTGTTTTGAGGAGAGGGAGGACAAGTGGGAGAAGAATGCAGCAGGTTAAATTTGGCAGCGCAGCAGTTGAAGGAGAGGTGACAGTTACGTAGAGAGAGGGGGAGGGGGGAGGGGAGAGGGGGCGGGAGGGGTAGCTGGTTTAGCCTAGCTCTGAAGCAGGATGGGGTCTTCTAGCTCATGGAAGCCAGGCACTGAGCTGCTCTGGCTCTCCCCAGAATCGGAATCATAGGGAGCGTCGGGTAGCTCCGTGAAGCCCCACGCCATCTGGTCATCCTCGAACTCAGAGCGCACCTGCACGGGCACGTCGGCACACTCCTCCTCCTCCTCGTTGGAGTGGAAATCCTGAGGGATGTAGAGCATCTCTGGGTAGTTGCGGGACACCAGGTCGCTGGTGGTGGCCAGAGACGCCTTACGGAAGGCGATGAGATGCATGTGGGAATACTTGACGTATTTGTACCGCTTGAAGCCCAGGGACTCCACCGCCACGCGCCAACTGCGCATCATGAGGGCATGGCGGTTTTGGTGCGAGGAGTCGGGCGTGATGATGAGCAGCAGGCCGTGCAGCTCCAGCAGCTCGTGGGCCTTCTTACAGCAGATCCAGCGCTGGTAAGGTGAGGGGAAGTAGGACAGAAGCAGAGAGAAGACCACCACGTGGAATAGCTGGGCGGGCAGCGTGTCGATGGGGTTGTGGAGCTGGCGGAGGAAGGCCTCGACCGCGTCGCTCGCCAGCTGGAGAGGCTGCTGGAGCTGAAGGTTGAGGAAGTCACACTTGTACACACTCTGAAGGAGAGAAAACAGGCAGAATGTCAGCCCTTTCAAAAGGGTTCTAATTTGATCTTTTGCTCTCTTTGTCACGGTCATGTACTTTCTCTCCTTGCAGCTGCAGAATGCATGGCGCATTTTGTTCTGCTTTCTGCAGAATCTGTTCACACGTACTGTCTAACCACAACAGCATGAGTCATTGTCGGTCTTGCAGTTGCTCTGTAATGCCAGCACTGAATCACCAAACAGGAACCCTATGCATTTTATGTGCGTCAACAAGGACTCATAACAAAGAAACAGCAGAATAAGCACACGTACCTCAACTGCAGGCACTATGTCGATACCAACTGTAAGGAATTCATCAAACTTCAAGAAAGGGTTGAAGCAGCTTCCCACGTCAAGAAGGCGCATTTTCCCCAGCTGAGAGATAGAACTACAACACCAAAGCGGAACAAGCGTCAGTACCAAAGTGACTTTTGTATCAAAGAGTGTCTTTGTAGATACAACAACCACATCGTTAAAATCATCTTTTTTCCACAACAAACAAATACAACATCACAGCAAGGTCCACACATAATTTGCTAATATGACTGAAAATGCTTTCTATAAGAAACAAGAGAAAAACAAACGCACATCTTATAATAAACATTGTTTTTCTGATCTATAAAGTAACATTCAGGCTAGCTACTGTAACTGTTGTCCTAGGTACTGGATGAGAGTGTAGTTGCTCTTGCACTGTGTTTACCTGGGGATGGTGCTGTACGGTTGGGCACTTACAGAGTCTGCAGCCAGACCCATGGTAAGCATGGCACTTTTCTTATCCTTTTCTACCATTCTTTTCATCCCGCCATCCAAAAAATATTCTTGACAGACACTGAAAGTAGAATCAAGACACAACTCAAACTTCACTGCGACATGTTGTGAAAAGCACAACCTGCAGGTTTGGGTGAGTCAGACTTCATCGTCATGAGGTTCCAAAGCTGCAGTGAGCCGTACCTGCGACACCATTCGATGCGTCCCTCTCCTTCGCAGTTTTTGGTCCAGTGGTTGTCGGCGAGATTCTTCATGGCGAGGGCGTACTCACTCAACGTCTGCTCATCTTTACAGTGCTCGCGCCAGATCTTGTCAAAATCGCCCACTGAGAAGAAAAAAAAAAAAAACATCAGGACAGAGCTGACAGATAATAGACAACACAGGAAGTAACTCTCAGACCTGACAATATTGAAAGTTAGCTTAAGCTGCTGGCATCATCATGCTGAAGTCCTGTTTTTTATCCAAGTCTGACACGTCCATCCACATAAAGTTACAGTAAACATTCACAACCTACTTGCCAACTTTGGTCCTCCCCTTTAGCACCAAAACATGGCAGTAAAAAAGCTGCTGAATGAAGCTTTAGCCACATTGACGGCTGATACATTGCCTACAAACTCACTCATCTCTGCCACCACAGGAGTGGAACTGTTCCTCTAAAAAGCATCCTCATGTAGCCATTTCACAGTCACAATAAAGTCCACGCAAAATCCCTTCAGCGTATCTTCACAGTTTACAGCCTGTAGCATCGGCAAACACGCAGACAAGAGAGAAATCCCATGACCGCAAGAAAAAGAAACTGATTCAGATTTGCAGAAATGAAAGGACAACAAGAGAAGCGGTGGTAAACAGCAGCGCTCTAGAAGCATGACTCTATCATTCTATGCCAAGCTTACCAGATCATGCTTTACGTATTATCCACTCATGAGGTCTGCTAGCAGGACAACTTCTCTGTGCAGTTCTAGTCTCCAAAACAACCAACCAATCTCATTTACTGGCATTATTGTTTTGATTTATTCAAAATAGGACTTGATCAATACATTTAAAAACAATACATTATGGTTGTGTAGCATTTCTAAAAAGGGGAAAAGTAGGACAGAGCCAAAACTAATAACAGCAAAAACCTGACCTCTTTATGCATCGCTTTACATAACTGAGAATGTGGAAATATCCGTAACAGCACAAGACTGACTCCACAAATATTAGACACTGGAGACAAACTAATTCATGATATTTGCGGCTTTTATACTTGGAAAGTCAAATAAACCATGATGCCTTCACCGTACAAACTGAAGGCTGTTGTTCTGCTACACTAATGCTCAGCTAATGCTATTCTCAAGTTTACAGTTTCACACTTGTCTCTTAGTGTTCCCCTCCCACACAGTCTCCAGTAGGACTATGCATTTCCTCAGAAAGGGAACGTGAGAGTCAACAACAGCACAAAGCCTCAGTGTAGTTACACATCATAGCAACTTTCTTTTTTTAAAACGAGCTATTAACTATCTTCATTTCAGTCACTGGATCTCAAGCACATGAGAGAATGAAGCTGCATCTTGTATCCGGAAGGTTCCATTACAGACAAATATTTGTGAGCTTGCTGAGTGAAGACAGATGAGGTGATCAGGAGCCACATCCCCCCAGAGGAACATTGTTGTCAGAGAAATAGCAGTTTTACAGAAACAGTATCATCTTCAACTTTTTTTGCCATTTTTTTTTTTTTTGCACTTCCCCAAATAGCAAAAGCAGAAGTAAATCTATCCTGAGCTGGTATCCTGTCAGTTTTGGATCTTTACTTTACTTATGAGGAAAAGTAGAAATAAAGAGTAAAAACTTCTCTCTCTGATGTACTCAGCAATGATGGATTGATTTACCTTCAACCTTTACGTTTTATAGTTCAGAACAACACCACTACTCAGCTAATCTGGATGTAAAAGTCCACAGAGTTATCATTTATTGGCAATAAAGAGGTAAAAGTAGATCATTCATTGTCAACAGATAGTATCTCTCATTGGTAGCCATATAAAGCTGGTTTTAGAAGAGACATAAATGCGTGTTTACACTGGTGACTTCATGGCATTTCCAGTGTATGTAGCGCTACTGTTATTGTTAAGTAGATTTAAAAGGCCTCGCTTGCTGCGTGGTGCCCTATGGGTCCGCCTCCATAACAGCTAACGTTAACCGGACTCAACACGAGAGAGAGTACCGTTACCGAGCACAACAACGTGTCTTTACTGCTGTTAACGGAAAGGATTTAGCTGTGTAACGTGAGTGCTAACGTTCAGTGTTGGGCCAAAGAGAGACACAGAAGGGCCCACCGAGGCTCTGCTTACCCTCTCTGTATTTCCTGCGCAGTTTTCTGTGGACGTTTTTGACGACCCCGGACAGCTTCTCCTGCTCCCCTTTGCACGGCACTTCGTCTGGAATCGGCAAGTAGAACAGCTCGGTGTGGTTCTCCGTCTCCCCTGTCTCGACATTGTCCCTGAGGTCCATAGCACCGCGCCAGCCGATGCTTGCTTGCTTGCTTGCTGCCCCCTTCGCCAGTTGCTTCCCCTTTTTTCCTTAGCTGAAAAAAAACAAAAAAAAACTGTGCAAATCACGAACCGGCGAACCGGTGCAACAGGCTAACAAAACGCACGCTGATTGGTTGACTTTGACAGACACGCTTCGGAACTGACAGTCCGTCGTCCAATCACAGACCTTGGAAGCCTAACTGTGACTGCGCGTGTCCCATGAAGCGTTCAAGTGCAGCTCGTACATTCTATAACTAATGAAGTAATCCCAACACCTCATGACATGGCATAAAAAAAGGGTTGTTTCTGTTAAATATGTTCTCATAATTAATGTGAAAATTCATATTGAAACAGCTTCTTCCGCTTTCAACAAAAATACATTTTAACAGATGCAACTTATTTGTGTGAATGCATTTCTTAAGTTTATTTCTTAAGATTATTTTAGCTCTCACATGGTTTATTAATTAAAAATCAATTTTTATCTTTTATCTTTTTTATGTCTATTTACACAAGTAAGAGCTGAATAACATATATTCCTCTATTGTACACATTTTTTACTCTGATTCTAAACATTATTAATCATTGCACACTAGCCTTTTAGCACAGCGTTAAGAGTATGCAACCCTGCTTTTCAGTACACATATTGTTTGTGTATGTGACAAATTAAACCCTTGACTCTTTGGAAATATATTTTGTCCTGTGAACTATACATCTCACCCATTACGTTCTACTGTTGTAACTTGTAAAAAGTTTATTTATTTCATACTGTAAACTGTATTTAACTGTTTTTAAATGCCTTGATATTCATAACTCAGCAAAATTACACTATAAACAACATAAATTGTATACCTGTATACTTGCAAAATAGATTAGTCCAAGAACATGTTCATACAAATGTTCAGTACAACCTACGATCATTTGGCACAGATACAGCTACACAGCAAGGACGGCTAAAGGCCTCAGCAAGTGAGCTAATCTGATTCGGCCCAGAAATAGGATGAAGCATGCACAATAGATTTGGACTGGACATGCATGATGTTTTGTCCTGTTCAGAGGGATAGCGTGAGGAGAGGCACTTGGAAAGCCCAGATCAATTATTTTTTATTCAGTAGCACTGTAGACACTTCTGGAGTCAAACTATATTTAAGTCTCTCTTTAAGTTGTCTCTCAAAAATTACACACAGCACATGATGGTAACTGTGTCGTTTCTTTAGCTATATCTATTTTTGGGGTGGGATCATACTTTTTCCAGTCCTTCATAACAAAATGTCATTAAATAAACATGAAGATGTCTCTCATACTCTTTATGTGTAAAGACAGCACCACTGCTTCTTAGAAAAATACTCGCTGAGTTTAAACATTGATCCACATACTCAAAGTACATTTAATTTAATTAACTGCACTCGAGTAATAAAAGTCCTAAAAGGAGGTCAGACAGGCGTTTGTGTTGAAATGAAGACAGTCGACATGCAGTCTGCTGCGGCCTGTTGGACTACATATCAGAATATGAAGTCCAACAGGTGTAGGCATTAATAACAGGTGTAACATAAGCTCCACCTGCACCGCTAATAAACATGAATTAGTATTGCTCTCATGGGTTATGCTGCGAGGGCAACACCTATCATTTCAGGTCAGATAACAAAAAGATCTCATGTTTTAAAAAAGTACAAATATATAACCACACCAAGTTTCTCAGATCTGATACTAAAACCTCTAAAAGAGAAGTTTATTATAAAAGGATACTTGCAAGAAACCCTTGTTCCTGAAAGCTATAACTGGAATTTGATCTTTGAGGGATGTATGCTCATTAATTCTCTTTGCACATATACATGTACCAGTCTGTGTGTCTCAAAAAAGTTAGTGTGTTTCCTTTTGTGGCTAAAAAATGTTTGAGTGGTAATCCTCCCAGTGGACTGCACTGAAATCCCATGGCCAGTACATTACTGCAGCTGTGCTCAGCTCAAAACAAAGCTAAAAGCCAAAGTTGAAATAGGGAGCAGGAACTACTTGCTATCAGTACAAGTGACCTGGTTTGTCATTATGTTCCTTCATACTAAGACACAACAACCCAACTAAAACCACTGAACATTGAAAGCTGTCTGAAGAGTTCTCTGCCTAACTGGATTTATTGTGGACTGACACTAAAGACGGTACTTTAGAAATGCACATGGATCGGGCTCGAGGTTTGTTCTTTATTTGGATCAACTTTGTCAACTTTCCCGAAGAAAAGATAAGAAAAGGAAGTATTAACCCTCAAAAACTATATTGACTTCTACTCTGTTCCAGGATCTGTTTGTTAATGCGTAAATATTGATTTTCAGACAACACTTTGAAAACCCTGAACATAGCATCCAAACAGTATGAAAATACAGGTTAATACCTCTTATGGTCAGCTCGATGCCAAACATATTTCAAGACTGATAAGTGGTGATAACGAGGCAGCTGATTTGTAGCAGAATGCAGAATGCAGCCCCTGAACATTTCAACACACTGAAAACACAAACAAGAATCCAAACTGTCAGGTCTGAATCCGGTTTCTGTGTTCTTGTAGAGTTTCAGGGTATGACTGCAGATCTCTGACAGAACATACCTCATGGCATTCATATTTCCTTTTGAAAAGCACTGATTATGGGTTTGATTGTCAGTAACTTTTAGAGCAATTCAAATCTATTCCAAGTATATTAGCATTGCTGTTTATTTGTTAGTGAGTAAATCTAAGTGCAGTCCGGTTTATTTTAGAAAACTCTTATGCGTATTTGAAGACAAAATCAGTCTCTTAGCTGCTTTTCACTGATAAATGAACCCAGTTTTTAGCCACGTAGACTAAAATATCTCAACATCTACCAGATATAATGCCATGACATTTTCATAAGAATATGTTAGAATGCCAGCAAGCTAAACAAAGATGGTTGTGTGCACTCTGAGCTGGCTACTATCAGTACTGTGAACTAATAAAAAGCCATTGTCCAAATTGAATCATTTGTCTCGTACAATTTATTCATTCCAGGCTTATGAAAACTAAATGTACCCTACACAGACACAGTGATCTATAAGTGGCATCCACACACACGGCACACTGATTGCTTTTTGCACCTCAAGAATGCATTAACGTTCTGCAGAACTGATCAGTGTGAGCAATGGTCCACAGCCTGCAGTCTGAGTCGATGCTAAGCTTTATGTACAGTAAAGAATAAAGAAAATTGGTTCATACTCTTGACAACAGAGAGTTAGCATCCTCCCATAGGGAATATACAGCATTTATTCTGATATGTGTCATATTTACTTTAAATTAATGCCCATTGTTATTCACTTCTGTACGCTTTATCTTCTTCTATTTAGACCATTATAGGTCTTGTTCATATATCTTCAGATAAAGGGAAATATCAAATGACGGTATGATAGTATTACAGTTTAAGGTTTAATTCATCCTATTCTGTTTTTTTTGTTGTTGCTTTGTCTGCCTCTCTCCTTGACAGTAGAGCCAAACCACTGATATCAAGTAGAGCCCCAAACAGGCAAGAAAATCATACCGGTAGGCCACCACTAAAAATACCACTAACAAGGTGGCGTACAACAATGTTTTTGAGATATTGCTGCAGGAAAAAGTCTCTTTCCACCATGAACCACTTCTATCGATGCTCTCCTGTCCACTTGACGCTGGCAGAGCTGTGGGTTGGACGTCTGCTGTCTCCACGTCCTCGTGAGTGTCCAGAAGGCGGCCGGTGTGTTGTTCCTCATCCTGAGACTCACTGATGGATGGCATGGGTGTGGGCAGCATTTTGCCTCTGCTTACAGAGGGCCTTAATTTGCCCTCACCAAAACCTGTGTCCTTGTTCCTGTCCGTCTCGGCCTGTGCCCCGGTGTGCACGGCCCTGAGGCAGTGCATGTACAACTCCACCTCGTCATCTGAGTCGGACTCTGCTGAAGCGCTGTCGTGGCTCGTTTGATCGTTTTTAGGTTCATCCGTGAAAATGAACGAACCTCCCTCTGCAGCAACGGATTCGTTGTCATCTCCCGCAGCTTTTGTGAGGTCATGTGTAACAGCCTCCTTGCTTTGGAAAGCTTCCTCTTTGTACAGATGAATTTCAGTTGGGATGTGTCCATTTTCTCCGTCAATTACTCTCTTGTCCTGCACATTGTTCACCGGAGCAGATAAACCATCCCCGAGCTTTTGTGTAATGTCTAACCTTACTTCAAAGCACCCCGCTTCATTTTGCCCGTCCTCTATCGCCACGCTCTCTGACTCTGCATCGATGATCTCTGACTCTCCCGTTTCAACAACAAAAATGTCCTCCTCGTAATCTGGATTCTCCTCTTCTTCGTTTACCTCCCTTGGTTTTACCTGATCCTCCCACTCCACACCTGCTTCATCATCATCGCTCAGGTCTATTTCTATTTCTTCCTCTCCCTCTATATCCTCTTCATTTTGGACATTTGTCTTTTCAGTATCAACGTCATGTATGTCTGCAAAGTGTTTTGCTTTCTCCAGCTCAGTCTCCTCTTGTTTTTCTATTTTCTCTTCTTCAATCTCCTCAGCTAGATCTTCTTCTCCAGCTTCATTTGTGTCTTGGACATATTCTAATTCTTTTGCAACTTCTTCCCCATCTTTTCCTGCCATAATCTCCCCAATTTCCTGTCCAATCTTCTGCTTGCCCTCTGAAACATCTACATCCTCAGCCTTGTTCTTTTCCTCTCTTGCAGCTTTAATGTCCCAAACCATTTTGTCCTCTTTTTCCGCCTCTGTTGCATCTTTGTTTTCTAATGCTGTCTCTCTCCCTGCATCCTCCAACTGTCCTTGGTCTTTCCCCACTGTTTTTAAAATTATTGCATCACTTTCCTCTTCATCGGTTAATATGTTTTGCTCCTCTTCTTCAACCATAATTTCCCAGTTTACGTCAGTCGTGTCTGCTAAACAAAAATCCTCCTGTTTTGCGACAGTAGCTTCTATTTCATGATGCTCTCTGTTTTGTGCGTCCTCATCTTTGAGGTCCACACACATGTCACCATGCATGTGTTTATTAATCGTTGCTTTTGCCGTTGCCTCAACTACCTCACCAATTATCTCTTTTTCGGCTGAGTGTTTTGTTCCGTCTTTCGGCGAGTTGTTCCCTACTTTATTTCCTTCTTCCACATTAATAGTTTCAAGAGATATCTCCGGTGCTGTGACATCCTTTTCCTCCACAATTTCAAAACAAGTAACGTAACTAATCTCAGTTTCTTCCGTAGCTGAATTATTCATGTGTTTAGGATTAAAATCATGTAAAGCTTCAAATGCTTTATCCTCCTCTGAAATGGCAGTGGTTGTTGATATAGTTACTGTTTCGCAAACGTCATCCTCTTTGTTTGATTCACGTACAAGCTTACAGTCGTCTGCTCCCCTACCGCTGGTCTGTTGGTCTGTCTCGTCACTAACACGCCCTGATACACTCTTAGAAGGTTGAAGTGACATAAATGATGACATGACTTCTTGTGTTTCACTGTCTGCAGGTGTTTCATCTAGATTCGTCTTAGTTTGTGTACATGTATGCTCTTGCAGTTTGGGGTCATGGGTTAGATTGTCTTCCTGTGCTTCTCCCTGGAGATGTAAACTCTCAGCGGGTTTTTGTGGATTCAACGAATCTGTATTTAAAATGTTTGCAGTATGTGAATGTACTACCGTGTCTCCAGAAATAGTTTTAGGAACCTCAGATGTATTTGTTCGTCTCTGATCTGAATGTGTAATATCATCTGTATCCCGCAGAGTTTCTGTTTTGTCTGGGATGTTGTTTGCTGTCACGCTCAAACTTGTTTCTTCTTTTCCCATAGGAGGACTATTTGTAACTAAGCATCCTTGCGGACCCTTAATCACATGTCCCTCGCCCTCGTTACCTCTCGCATCTGTTTTACCAGTGCAGCTAGTCTGTCTTCTTTCAGTGTGAGGGTATCTTAAGTCTCCAGCATGCAATGTAGCCTGTACTGGATTTCCCCAATCACTTTCATTTCCTACTCTGCCAAACACCTGATGGTACAACGGAGCCACCACAATTCCAAATGTGAAGCTGTTGGTCTGGCTATCAAGGCTTTCACTGCTCCCTTCTGAACTATCACTGCCAGCTGGTTGAGCTGCAGTGTTGCCAATACATTCATGACTCGTGCCTTGCCTCTGACTGTTTTCCTCTGCTTTCGAGACAGACTTGTTGATATTTTGACATTCTGCAGAAGCAGGCTCATCATTTGATGGGTTGTCTGGGATAACTGCGGCTCTCTCACCTCCTGTTAATGTGGCCGAGTCAGCCAAATTGATGCTCTCAGATTTCTCCGTCTCGCTGTCAGACGTGTGGTTGTGTGATGGTGATGTATCATGTGGAACATCAATGAGAGGTTCGCTGCATGTCTCCAGAGATTCAGAAACAAAAGGAGAACTTCCTGATTTACTGCTCCCCTCAGGAAATGATTGCACATCTGAGTGATTTTGCTCGGGGGTTTCTTCTTGAGCTGCCAGGTTTGCCTCTGGAGGGGATTCATCTCTTTCAGTTTCATCCGCTCCTCCATCTCTCTGAGAAAAGTAGTCCCTCACCCGAGCTATCCGTGCAGCCTTTCTGCAACTTCTTTGGCTGCTGTTCCGTCTGCTCTCGGTCTGTCCATCAACAACAGAGATAGATTAATTTCAGTTTGCTCACACAACAGTTGCTGTTTTAAGAAAAGGGAGTGGGGATTTAAAGTTGCATCTCACACAGAAACGTGCTCGGATTCAATAATATCCTTGACTGCATTTTTGATTAAATACAAAAGGATAAACGATTAAGATAGTGTTAAAATAGCCTGCATGACAAAATAGAACTCACTAAAGAAGCGCAAACAGCATGCACTGAGTGTCCTTTAGCTGCACAGGACATTATGTCACTGGTGTCACTCAAGTCCTGGTCATGTGATATTCTCTCAGAAAGTGCACCGGGGGGGTTCATGTCAAGTTTTCTGTTCCTCCTGTACCTCATAGACATCGTGGTGTCTTTAAGCTTGCGTTCATAGGCAACAATACATCAAACCTGGCAAATCAAGTTTGAAAATAAGAGATTGTTTAATCACTGAAAAAGGATCTGTAGTGTCTGATGAGAAAGATTTAGGATTTCAGAACAATTAGATCTCACGGAACTTCAGTCAGTCTAGTATTCTGCTATCTTAACCTGCAAATACACTTGAGTTGCAAGCACACATTTACTGAATTGGAGTTTAAATCTATATTTGGCTATAGTCCAAAGGCAAATCATAAAATGTATTAGTAAACTGGACTGTTGTCCACAGAAATAAACAGAAATGTGGAGTATTTGTGTTTTTCTTTTTACTTGCCAGTAATTTCTGTCGATCCTCCTCTGAAGTTCCTGACTGGCCGTCGGAGATTTGCTCGGCTTTCATGGTGTCCGCTATCTCTCCATGCTTTGACACATCTAGAGAAAAGAGCTATTTCTATTTATACTGAGGCTGCACTATTTACAGTGTCTTTTTACATTCCCCAATTGTATTCTTAATTTCACAATCAGCAGAATAAATATTCACCTGTTGAAATGTTCTCCTGAGATGAAGCTTCCGTTGCAAAAATGTTTTCCACAGTGGAGAAGCTCTGACTGTGAATCATTGGAATTGTGATCAGTCAGACTTTTATGTGACAACAATGTTGAGGTACTGTAATCCTTTTGATAAAAAAAAAACATTTCAAATAGTTTTGCAAGAGGTGATAATTCATAATGGATTTTAAAAACCTTTGTCTATTTTCTTGTCACAAATTGGTTGGATTGGTTGCACATCCCCTGCACCTCACCACATTTGGTCAATCCACCATTCAGCAATAACATAAAGGATCTTTGCACCAGTTCAAACGTAAAGAAAATACAGAACTCACGTAGTCTACACCTAGATGAACCTTAAGGCCCAACAGCTTTCATACAAGAATAATGAGAACAATTAGTCAGGCTACTATATCAGTTTTACCAGTAGCCAATATTTTTTCTGATCGTAAGGCAAAATCGTATTGAGCTTTAAAAATACTGATCAGTGAAACACTTTATATCCTCACCTGACAGTCTTAAGGCAGCTTTTCTTGTTCAATCTTTCCTTCTGTGGCATTTCTTTCCTCTCCTTCATTCTCCGGTGACAGAACAGCACGTAGTTCCTGTCGTTATTGTTGGCCCAGAATGTGCCCACCGAAGTCTCATATCGCAGACAAAAGTCAACTCTGGCTCCCTGCTCTCCGAACGGGGGCACCAGGGTGAGCTTAAACGAGAAACGGTCCGTCAGACTGTCACTGGTACCGGGCATGTACTCTGCCAGGAGGTCAAAGTGGCTTGACCAGGTGTCCAAAGTGGTTCGGACGTATACCGCTTTGTTGAAGGAGATGTTGAGGACACGGATCACTCCTTTCAGTATCGTGGTCCCCGGAAGTAGCTCGATGGTCTCCAGTTCCATTTTCTGCTCCCGGACTCTGACAAACAGCTCCTCGGTAGACAACGGAAGGGAGAAAGTGAGAGGAGATAGGAAGTATACCTCTGCATCTGTACCTTCGCCCACAGAAGAGTCACATTGGGGCAGCTTGGGTACATCCCAAGTGTCAAACTCCTTCACATGCACCAAACTGAGGCCCTTGACGTCTGCAAAGGACACTCTCCTGGAGGCAGACATGGGCGGCCCAGGCTCCGAGTCCTCGTCACTGTCAGAGCTCCTTCTCCGAGGGCGAGGAGAAGATTTGGGCCTGATGCCGATCACCACGTCACACTCATCGTCGTCCACTTCCAGGGGGCTGAGGCCTGGCACTCCTAAGAGGTTACAGGCCCCAGAAGGCCCTGGTTGTCCCACAAACTCCATGGAGCTCTCTGTAGGAGAGTCAGCGGGAAGTGAACTGCAATGCGTCTGCTTCTGGCAACTGACATTTAACATGACTTAACAGATGGAGTCGAGTTACAGATGACATTGTTGCAAGGGCCAACACTATAAATAGGCCAGAGGGGACTTAAACTATGTACAGTGGATCTAAGTTCAAGAAGAGAAAATATCATCCAATTGCCTCTTTGAGGAAGAGAGTTTGTGTGATATAATCTACGATATAGATTGATAATCATCTAATTATCTTACAGCAAAACAACTCCAACATCGAAACGTTTTGTGGACATTGTTCTTATGTAAATGTATGCCTGATAGTATGAAAGAAACAACCATTCCACAGAAGCGCATTCTTTTATGTGCTTATAACATATCAAGATGTATCTTGTGTTTGTACTATTTCCTTTGTTTAACTCACACAGCTGTGACAAAGTGGCATGCCCAGCTCCAGCCATGACCAAAGCGGTTAGTCCTTAATCTTACTGAGCAAATAACATACATATTTTCACAGTGAGTAAGAGTGTTGTGTCTCAACGCGAGAGCGGAGAGCCCCTCCTGAATTGGTTATGAACAGTATAAAAGCATGTCAAGGCTGTCTGGAAGATAATAGTTTTGTCCAGCAATCAATGAAAACAGAGCGATGACAAACAAGACAACATCTTTCAGATACTTCATACATGGAAGAAGAAAAAGCGGGATGTGACTTCAGAAATACATCTACGACAGAAGAGAGCAGCAGAGAAATGATCGGGGAAGAAACGGCTGCAATAATGGCAGATGCTGTCAGTAGCTATGAGGGCGTCCTCACCAACCCATCTCATCCTCTAGATAACACAAGCCGCTCCTCAGGCAATCCCTCTTCTGAGGGCACATAGCTCTTCTCAAAGCCCTCACTCTCCTACATTGCCCTGATTGCCAAAGTCCTCCTGTCCTCCCCGTCCAAGAAACTCAACCTGGTGTCCATCTACAGAGCAATGGAGGAGCGGTTTCCTTACCTCAGGGAACGACTGCTTTGTGAAGGTGAGCCGCTGCGAGGATGGTCGGGGCCATTACTGGGGTGTCCAACAAGCTCACCTGAGAGACTTCCAGCAGGGGAACTTCAGGCAGTACAAAGCCAGGGAGAGGAGGAAGATGGAGAGGGAGAGAGCTGACAAATCTGAGGGGTGTCTGCCTTGGATGGAGACCAGCTGCTTCCTGGGCAGGTTCTGTGAGTGCAGATCTTTGGGTTGTGTGGAGCCACAATGGCCTGTCCAGGAACAAAGGAGGTATCAGATGAGTTCTTTGGACTGGACCCCACCACGCTATCAGCCTTGGAGCGTCAAAGCGGGCCGGGTACAATCCTCCAGCTGGATGGGACGTTACTATTTTCCAGAGAGGCTACCCGTATAAGGCTACAGCTGGGAGAGGGCACGGCAGTCAACCCATGCCCTCCAGTCTGCACTGCTTTGAGTCGAATGACCCAGTACTGGGTGGCATGAAAGAGTCATATGACAGCAGGTTCACTACACCACCAGTGCAAGAGCTCAGTTTCCCTGGCTGCTGGTGTTTGTCTCCTGCCGTCAAAGAGATCATAAGACCTTTACCTTTCAGTCAACTTTTAATGCCTTAAAGCAGCAATGAAAAGTAGAACAGGGACACTGCATGGAATGTTTTTTTTTTAACCTGACTATACAGAAGAAATTTACATTACTTTTGTTTTTCAATATAAAATGTAGGGCAAGTAAATACTAATCCAGTAGGTGGCAGAAAGTTACCTTTGTAACAATATCTACATTTCAATCATTAATTGCTCTTTCATATTTAAACGTACAGCAAAAATCCACATTTACATGGTGTAAATATCTGCACCTTTAACATGTGTTACGTTATTGTTGTGTAAATTCATAGCTATGCCGTGTTATGTTTTCATTCTTTTTCCATGACGAGAGAGAAACACTATACATTGTGTGCAAATATATAAAAGGATATATTCTATGTTCTTTACCTTGATGTCCCTCTCGTCTCACCAAAGTAAAATGTCTCCTGATGCTATATGCAGCCTGGCCTTAGGTCCTCATCATCTTCCTTGATCATGTACTTGCAATCTGTAAAAGACATTTTGAAATAAAGACCTGACATTACAGGAAGCCACTGCAGGAGTGTAAAAAAACATGGTGTGCTTAGAAGAAGGAGGAAAGAATAAGAGATAAAATAATAAATAAAATAAATAAATAGTAAAACAGAATGAAAACACGAAACAGAAATGATTAGAAAAACATGAAGACATGTTCTCTACAAAGTTTAATTTCAGTTGTTTGTCAGTGCAGCTGTGTTAAAGTTTAACACAACAGGGTACATTGCATTTATCACAAGCCAAAATTAAAACACTCTATTTATTTTTAACAGATGTACTGATGTGCTATTCAAATAAAAGTGTACTGTAAATAGCTCTTTGATAACCGTTTGACAGTTGTGTGGCTGCAGAGTTCTTTTCGTTGTTGACGCATATCTAAATAAAGTCACAGACGACTATACTTATCCTTTTCTCAAAGAGAACGCTTTGTTTTAATCATGAAAGACAATAAATGATTTTTTGAGGTATTTATTTCTTTTATTGGATTGTTTATGTCTATGAATATCAACAAATAAAAGCGATATCTGCAAAATAAGCGACTGGAAAGCAAAAGATCATTTTTTTCACTATATGTTACAAATAGATGATATTCTTTATTGCAATAGAAGTGATATTTATTGATTATGCAAAATGTAGAGGAGCTTTTTGCAAATGCTGAAAAACAAAATCATCACAGCAAATGTGAATACACACAGCAGGTAAACTTTTAAGCCTACAATAAAAATGATTTATAGCTGAAGCTGATTTTCCTGTTTTGCACATGCTGGTAATCAACAGCTATTCTCACTGTCTAATTCACTGACGGACACTGTGACTCCTCCCCCTCAGGTAGACACACAACTCCATCAGATCGCTCCCATCCTCACTTCAAACTGCATGACTTGGAGACATCAACTCTGCCTGGCTGCTCTAAATTCGACTATTCACCTTCACGGTATGTAGCTTTAATACGATTCTGACAAAAATAGAGTGGGAGACCTTTGAAGAGATTTGACTTTTATGTATGTTTTTAGGAGGTAATACTTCAAGTATCTGTGCTCAGTTGCAGAGGTAATAGGATGTATTTTATAGCTCTCTTGCGTACATATGTTTTTTACCTCTTAGTTTCTTCTTCATGCACCGCCGAGATAAGTTAAGACATGCAAAAAGTTGGATTTAAAAAACTCCATGCAAGCTTTCCTGGATCTTCACGCCCTGCCAATAAGGAGCCACAAATACATTTACGGACTATATTCGGTGTCATATAACACAGATTTGAGGAAAGTGCAAGATAACTGTCGTATGCATGTTCAAAGTATCAAAAAGTATTCGTATGCATTTGGACACTTTCATTTAAGAACCCACTGTAAACTTACAGTATGTTATGTTATTTGTGCATGAAATCTGGATGATTTTGATGTAATGATGTAAATTAACTATGCTGAAATATTGACGCTGCTTTGCCGTTTCCACTCACACACAACAAAATTGTAACATGGAAATCACAGATTTATTAAGTTCTAGTCCGTGGTTGCATCTATAGAATCGCTTCACATTTTAAGCCTTGCGTTGTTTACTGCAGTTGTGCAAAGAAAAGTTTTTACTTTATTATTTTTCTCTTTGTATGTCCTATTAGCCAGCACCTCAAAAAGCATGCCCATTATCTTTGGTATTTTTGTTCTTGCCGTGTCTTTAACACAAAGCCACACAAAGGTGTAATTCAGCAATGATGCTGAACTGTATTTGCAGTGTTTGAGTCGCACAGTTTATTTAGGGTTGACTGTTTTCTTTTAGGACCTGTGCTGGAATGCCTGAGTCTCCTCTCAGTCCCCCGACAGCCCGTCAAACCCCAGCCAGCAGCCTCCTCAGTCACACCGACGTCGGTGCAGGAGAGAGAGTAGCTAATGGGGACTCCTGCAGTGGAGTGAGTGCAGAAAACTGGCAGTGTCTACACCATAAACAGGTATCTTCATCCACCTCCTTCTCCCCAACCTCCCCCTCGCCCTCCTCTTATTCCTTCGTCCTCCTGTTCATAAGTGGGAAATAAAACAGTCTTGGACAAACAGATGTCAAGAGAAATACACGACGGCTCTATATTGGACGTCCTCTGACAGGACACCAAACTCGGAGCCTGCAGCTCCGTTGACAGTGGCAGGGATTTCTTATGAGATCTGATCCGAGCAGGGAGTTGACACGCAGAACTCTGTTTGTCCTTCATTATTAGTTTGTGAGTCAGAGTCAGGGAGGAGTAATTGTCCACGGACCTAGGCCAAACAGATGCAAGTGAAAGGCAAATAAGCATGACCCAACACAATTTTATGGTTGTCCGTTGTGATTCTGTCCCTGGGAATCTTAATCTGGGGGATCAGTGAAACAACAAGATAATGAACGCCTGGTCACTGCCATTTCCTTCAGTCTGTTCCCTCATCTCGTTGCCCTTTTCTCTTAATTCACTTTCTAAATCTGTGCAACACACTTAACTTGTGACCCTACAAAAAAACATTGGTGCTGTCCATTGTAAAGGGTCTGCCAGCACTGCTAGCACAAGCTAGTGAGCAGAATTTTTAAACATGCTATTTTTATTTTATTTTTCAGCGAACATAATAGGTGAAAATGTCAAAACGCCACCGATGCAAAGGCTGCCTGTCTGCAAGAGAGTGTGATTTCAGTCTTCAAAACATAATAATGGCTTGTAATATGAAAGCTCTTCAACCCGCAAACTCTGCAAAATCATACAAATGAAGACCATTTACAGTGAAGACTGGTTTCTTCATTTAATGAAAGAGAAGGACCTCCATCTGTAATGTATTTCTTTTCTAACTGTAGCATCCAATCCACACACCACGAATGGTTCCCCAGTGATTTATAAAGCATGATAATGAAGCCAGCTGTATGTCAGTGCCTTCTTTAAAACTACATAACAAGATTCAGGAAAGACACAAAAAAGGGTCAGACTGGGTTGGCAACTAGCAATTGTTTTCATTATAAATGAATATATTGTCAGAAAATCCCAATTTATCAGATCCCAAAGTGATATCTTTAAACTGCTTGTTATGTTTCACTAAATAGCGGAATACTTAAATAGGTACATGGTGGGGTAAGGACATAGGTTATAGTACCCTGTGCATTTTTAGTAGACACACTAGGTTTATTGGCTGCTGCACATTGTTAGTTATGCGATTAGTTAGGTGAGGTGAGTAAGTTAATTTTGGCAAAGCCACTTTCTCCCTTTCCCCTCACATTAGGAGAACCTTTCTTTGTGTATTTAAATACTGCAAACAGTCAAATAAATGCTGCACATGTTCTGCTTATTCCACCACCACTTTCTCTTTTCTTTTCCTTTGTATGATTTTTCTGTCACTGTCTCTGGGTCCTTTAGTCGAAAAGAATATTAGATTTGAACAGAAAAAGCAGCAAATCCTCACATTTAAGAGGCTGTAAATGTAAAGTCTTTCAAATTGTCAATTTCAACAATCATCTAATTAATTAGTCGACTTTTGTAAAAAATAAAACCAAATCATAAATGCCTACAAAAAATGCACATGGTTACTGCTGCTGTGCCAAAGTGTGAATCCGTCATCTAATTTCCACTGTATCAGTCTGGTTGAAACTCAAGAGGTATTATCTGATGACACAAATGACAAACTCGAGGTCCCTGATGTGTTCCTCTTTCATTACATCCTGCAAGCCGCTAAGATATTACTCCAATATAGACAAAAGGCTTCACTATAACCTAGTCACAGCCTTTACACACGTCTGTATACAGCAAGTGACGTTTTAAATCTAGAAAAAAACATATTGTTCATAGAATACGTTTTATATTCCCCAGCAATCAATTGACAGCATTAGTATTGTTTTTGGCAGCGTTTGTAATACAACATGTTGAATTTGTAAGTGTCGTTTCTTAATGCATTCATGGCAATTGCTGTGGCCTCTGTTTGAATACAAAAGGAGACAGCCGCTCTGTTATTTGTCGCTCAATCAGTAACAGTGCAGATCAGTTATTATTCTGTGAGTGTTTGCCTTCATTAATACCCATACACTTCTATTAGGAGTCACAACAAGCATGTAATTGTGTTGCTAATTAACTGGTCAGCCTATCTCCCATCTCATTTACGGTCAATGACACAATCCAGCATGATGATGTTCACAAAAGGTTGACAGCACAGTTTTGTAATTGGATTGGAAAGAATCCTATTCGATGGTTATTACTGTTTAACACTTGACACTTGCCTTCTGTCTCGCTCACTCGTCCTCCTGCCTTCACTCTGTAGACTTTGGTCCTTAATCATTTCATTCTTCCTCTTCTGCTCAAAGGTTTTTCTGGCTATGATGGCTCCTCAGCAGATGCAGCAGCTGCTGTCCCCCAACCAGCTGCAGGCTCTGATCCACCAGAAGCAACAAGCCCTTCTGCTACAGCAGGTATTTATGCAATACTAATATGGATACCTTACAACTAATAATAAGAATACACTGCACTGTGGTTAACTGGTCAATACCAGTGCAGAATAAAAGTTTTTTTTTGTGTACAAATATGTATTGGACTGAAACTACTGTAACACAAGTTGTGGATGCAATACAATGTTAACATTAAGTGTGTTGATTAGCTAGTTAGCTTGTCATTCCAAGTTGAAACTCAGGCCAAGCCGAGTTCAAGTTCAAACAGTAAATGTTTTCATATAACAATCAAGGTAAGCTATGTCGTAAATTAGCTAACAGCTAGTCTGCTAAGGCAAACTAGCTGGCTCACACAAATATAAAAAACTCTTACAAGAAAATGTGTTATTTGTTTGGCTTACAATAATGCACAAAAGTGTTTTTACTGAAGACAATTGTATTTGCACTCTTTTACATATTTTACTGTAAGTTGTTAGGCAAATGTCTATAATCATTTTAATGTAATAGAAATGGTCCATCACTGTTTTTCCAGCAACATCTGAAAGAGTTTTACAAGAAGCAACAACAACAGATTCACCTGCAGCTGCTTCAACAAAATCCTGGCAAGACAGTCAAAGAGGTGAGGAGTTACTTGTGGTCTGTTTTTTTAAATTCATTTATTTTTTTCAGTTTGTTTAACTGGTTTTGCACTAAGTTTACATACCCATCTTAGCATCAAAGCTCTTTTGAGTAATATCAATACAATTAAATAAATTAAAAAACAATTTCATAATATTATAATAATTTTTCCTGAAAGTGACACAAATAATTTAAACGGTAGGGGATCCATCAGCAATGTCCAATCAAGAGAGAACACCTTTGTGTGTTTTGTCACTTGTTTTTGAGATTTGAGAACAATGATTTGTATCCAAAGTGAAGTAATTGTTGAAGGATGCATTAACAGATGAAGTATATGCTGCTGATTTTAGCCCAGGATTAAAACTGCCAGAAGGAAAGAAAGTGTGAGCAGAGTTTTACATGAATACTATCTCACCCTTCTGTGGAATTGTCTCCCCTCCATCCTCCAGCTCCCTGCACAGCAGCTTGTGTTCCAGCAGCTCCTCCAGCTCCAGCAGCAACAGCAGCAGCTGCTCCGGTTACAGAGACCAGTCCTGTCCTCTCCTGCCCTCTCTCCAGGTCACTATGTGTGTCGTGATGTTAGCTGCTACATTTTGAATGTACTGTGTTGAAATTGTCCGTACAGTATCTGTATTTTTAGTGTTGTAATTTGAGGGTAAAGTTGACGGTAAGGTTGCGTCATATCGTGAGGACACAAAAATAGACAAACATGGACATGCGTCTGGTACGCTTTTGTCACTGAGACCTCGACACAGGAAGATTAGTTTCTTGTTGATTTTACGCTCTGTTACATAACTGCACTGAACTCAGAGGAGACGATGATGAAAGTGAAACCTAAAAGTAGAAATTTGATCCTTGCTCATTTCCAAGCTGTGATAATTATTCCTGGATTACAGTGAGGAGGTAACAGCAGGTCATGAGAAAGAGTTGCTCTACCCGTCCTGCCCCGAGGCTTTGAGGTGCGAATGAGTAGAAACTGTGGAGCACAGATGAAAAAAGTGCAGGTGTAAAAAAGCACCAAGATACTTATTATAGAGGAAATATAATTCTAGAAAGACATGCCATTTAGTTGCTCCTAATGCATTTTGAATATATAATTAACCGTGCATTGTTGTTGCAGTTTCCTTCAGCAACATGAAAAGCACTACATCTACAATATACTGTATGCTTCTTTTTTATGTTTTAGCCGGTTTCAGCCCTGCGGAGATGCAGCAGATGTGGAAAGAGCTCACAAATGGTTCAACTGAAGATAAAAGCACATCGAAGAGCAACCAGGACTCGTCTTCTAACAACATAGTGTCAACAAAGGTCCCGGGGAGGCAGACCGGTGACCAGCAGTCGTCTTCTCCTCACGGGGCAGAACGGTACGATCTGTCTGTTGGTGCTGTAAACTGATTGTGAGAACTGAGACGACACTGCTTCTTTCTAAACATCAAAGACTTGTCATTCTTTCTCTCAAGGAGCGGGTGAGGAGCTGTTTGCTTTTGCAGCAAGACTAATTCCCCTCGGGACGATATATATTTTGTCTTGTTTGTTTGCTTTGTGTTCCACCACCTGAAGTGGTGAAGCAAAGAAAAAGTTTACATGAATACATGTCCCAAATCAAAAGTAAATAGTTTTCCATTTGTTTTCCACTTGCTCCCCTCCACCTCTCTCTGTCATTTCCTGCCACCTGAAAAAGAAAAGAAACGCCTTTTATATCTGTTTTATTGCTGTTTGCACATGTTTTGTTGCTGTGGTTTTCAATCATGACAATACTTTCACTCTAGCGCTGTCAAAGCCGATCGCGCTGCCACACACACTCTCTACGCTCACGGTGTGTGTAATTGGCCCGGATGTGAGTCGGTGTGTGAAAACTTCAGCCAGTTCATCAAGTAGGTTTTAATTCCTAATCTCTTTCTGTTTCTGATTTAAAAGAATACTTCAGTGAAACTCTTTCAGTATCAAATACTCCTGGAGGCTTGACTGGTGGCCCTGACATGTTTGTAGCCGATGCATTCGTTTTTCTGAAAGATGCATCTGTGGTAATCTTTGGAAAAAGCAGTAGGTCATTTAAACACAGTTACAGATGAGATATTGTCTGAGTCATCAAGAACTCTTATAAACATCTGGATAAAAACACATTCTGTCTACTGCACACCAGTTTGCCAAGTTGTAATTTTAACATATTTAGGTCGTCATAACTTACATTTATCCTTGCTCATTTTGTACGACACAAGAGAAATATAAACATGTTATTGTGTATTAAAATAGAAAATAAATGAAAGTAACAAAAATAGAAATAAAAGATAAAATGTATCTGATAATAACACTCTTTAACTTAATTAAAATGTCATTCCCTGCTACCACCTTTGTCTGCAAGAGGTAATTATAGTCAACAGGAAATTATAGGAAACAGGATGAAAATAATAGTTTTCATAGAGCAGAAGATGGAGTATTATTTCACCCAAAAGGACAGAATAATATTTGAGGATTCTAGAGATTCTTTTAAACATTGCTGTAAAAATGACTTTTCTTCGTTCAGGATTTATCTTTCAGACAAAATGATGCTCATCTCAGTGACTTCAGTGACTTAAAAGTAAGAATAAGACGTGAGAAGCACAAACTGGGGCTGAAAGGTCACTCAGTGTGGCTTCACTGCATTTACAATGTATTTCAATGGTGAATAAAAGACGTTAAAAACAAACATGTCGTATCAAAACATCCATAGAAACCTCTCAAACCACTCGAGCATCATCATCCTCCTCTCCTCGGTTGATGCATTATGTCCAGAATGCTTCAAACATTCCTCACTCAGCCAAGAAAATATCATGAAATTCATTCCTTCGCCAGCAGTTTGAAAGAAGTTTCCACAAATGTTTTGATAGATTTTGACACATTTTTCATTGTAGCTGCTGTGAATTCAAGCTGACTACAGTCACTATATCTCTGAGTATTTGATGCTCAATAGACAGATTTTCAGGGGAGTATCCCTTTAACGCCCCTCTGTGTGTTTCAGGCACATAGGCAGCGAGCACACTCTGGATGACAGAAGCACAGCGCAGTGCAGAGTGCAGATGCAGGTGGTTCAGCAAATTGAGCTTCAGGTGAGTGCTGGAAAGACAAAAGCTAGAGCTGCAGCTTGGATGTGAGCTGGTGGCCAATGCAAAGCTGTCCCGTGCTGTTTGGCGTCAAACGACATTTGAGGTTTTATGTCACCACAATGTCACCCGTGATATATATAGTGGCAATATTAGTCCATAATATTCAGTTTAGTTAGGCAAAACCCCCTCTATCTTCATTTCCTCTAACAGCTCTGCAAAGAACGGGAGCGTCTGCGGGCGATGATGGCTCACCTGCATCTGCCATCTTTAGAATCTCAGTCGATCTCTGCACCCGCGAGTCTACAGCGGCCCCAATGTGATACGGCTGCTGACCCACGCGGCCTTCAGGTATAGCGTGCAGTAATAGCTGTGTGAACGACAGAGACAAAGCATTTCGGCGCTGTAAGCAGAGCTCCAAATATGTGGTGGAGAGTGAAAGCAGCAAATGTCTTGTGTAGCACATATGTAGATATCGCCGGTCTGTAATTGACCCTGGTCAACTTTTACAGTTGGATGAGTAGCAAACATATGTTGGGATTTTCATATAAACAAAAAAAAACACAAGTACAGGACACACCTGCATCAGAAATGTTTGAACCTGGTCAGAAAACTTATGCCAGATCGGATCACAAATGTATTTCTTGAAAAAGTTTCATCATTTTGCACCTTTTCACCTTTACTCTCAAAATACTTTCCCACTTTTCCTTTGTTGGGATCTCCATTCTCATTGAGTGTGACTCACTGCACGATGTGAGTCCCGAGCGCTTCCTTTCGGTGCCCAGCTGTTGGCTGCCATTGTGTTTTCAGACAGCAGACATGCTCTCATAATGTGGAAGCTAATCAGTTGTTAATCTTGCAAATATTGCACCATAATCAAAACACTCACCAAACAATTTCACCCTATAATTAACAATAATTGGCTTCCTTCCTCTTGCGATATTAGTGGAATCACCTCTGAGGAGGCGAATCAAATTGCTCTGTTACACTCTCCCGCTCTGTTTTTGTTTCTCTGTCAGTTTTTTCATTCCACTTGCTCCTTTGTTAACTTGTATCATCTGCTTGCGTCGCTCTCAGCTCGGCTCGGTCGCTGCCCCCAACAACCTGCCCTCGCTGAGTCCGTCAGACTCGCCCCAGGTGTCCCCACAACCCCTGGCCCCCGTCAGCACTCCATCCCAGGTGTGTGAAGAAGAGTCGCCCGCTCACACGTCGTATGACGGGGCCTTAAGACATCGCCATCACCCTTTGGTCTACTCACTGTCTTCGGGTAAACCTAATACTGTCGTCATTTATATGTTCATGCAGAAGAGAAACACTTCACAGGACATTGTCCATTTACTATGTTTTGTCTTGTTTCAGAAAATGAATATGAGCTTTACAAGAACACCGATATCAGACCACCTTTCACCTACGCAACACTCATAAGACAGGTACGGCCTATGCATTGGAATAGATTTCTGTCTTTATTCAACTTTAAACATTGTATAGGTATTTTAGATGACATATGTTTATAATATTTAAATAGCTACGTAGAATAATTGCTTAATTTGCAATTCAAATGCACCAGATGTTTTCTCGACAGTGATTTTTTCAGTTTGTTTTTATATTTTGTATTCTCTGGTACTTATAATGTGAATAAGGAGAAAAACAACATCTCTATGTTCTGTGTTTCTACATTCATGTTGATTGCCATGTGAGGTCATTTATTAATTAACTGTCTACAGCGGAAAATTGACAGAAAATAGGCAACAATTTTGTCGATTTATCATGTTGATTAAGTAACTTTTCAAGCTAAAAATCTGCTGGTTCCAGTTTCTTAAATATGATTATTTGCTGGTTTGTGATAGGAAACGTAATATCTTTGTGTTCATCAAACCAAAAAAAAATAAGAATATATTGGTCAACTTGGGCTTTGGGCTATTTACTGACATTTCTAACATCAAACAATGGATTGGACAAAGGATTAATCATACTTAGGCAGATTACTCAATAATGAAAATGAACCTTTTCATCCTAATAAAGGTATTTTATTCATAGAATAAGAAAATGAAAAGACTGCGTGACAGTTTTGAGTGTGAGACTGTTTCCTCCCTCCTTGGATCAGAGGTGAAGAAGTCAGGGCTGTAATCTGATCCTGTAATGTGCTACAGTTGTTTTTTATTTCCTCTCCATCTACAGGCTATTATGGAAACAACAGACATGCAACTAACACTCAACGAGATATACAACTGGTTCACACGGACGTTTGCTTATTTCAGACGCAACGCTGCCACTTGGAAGGTACCCCCCCCCCTCTGATAATTAACTCTGTGATCCCGGTGTGTGTCATACCTGATTTAGGCAGCATGTACTCAGTAATATCTCCTTCGCTCTGATTTTCTCTGGATCAGAACGCGGTGCGCCACAACCTGAGCCTGCACAAGTGTTTTGTGCGTGTGGAGAATGTGAAAGGCGCGGTGTGGACGGTGGACGAGTTGGAATACCAGAGGAGGAGATCTCAGAGGATCACAGGGTACGGTAGATGACTTCCTGTTTGTCACAGGTTTGGTATCAGGTATCTGCACATATTTCATTTCAAATATTAATGATATTTAAGACATTTCTTTAATCTGTCCAAGATAATAATTGATTCCATTTCATTGGCAACACGTGCCGAAGCTAAGATACTCAAGGGTTTCTCACTTTTGCTTTAGTATTCAAGCAGAATCGCGGCGGTGTGTGTAGGTGTACGCTTATATTTATTGGAGTGTAGGCTAATTAACATGCAAATCCTTGTAATTGCTACTGTTGTGGGATTTAAAGCACAGCAAGAAGATGAAGACTGGATAAAAAAACAATTGTCTATTTTATCAGACCTTTTCTTATGAATAATAATACTTTTAAATCTGTGATCGGTTTAGACACCAATGTGTTGCCATCAAGTTAGAATTGACACGATATATTGTCTTGTGTACAGCGCTGCACTGGGTGCTCCGGTGTCATAATAGTTTCATTATTGCACCCATAGAGCAGGTGTGTTCTCCTTAATAAGCCTCAGGAAATGAATGATAAATAAGACTGGTGACAGTTTCAAGGTTCTAGTTGAAGGCTCCTTCTGACTTTCTTCATGCGACTGAATTATTTGTCATTATAACTGACCTTGCCTCAAACTATTGCTGTTTACCATGTTGTGGCTTCAATATATACAAGGTATTGATTTGCTTGCCATGAATCAGACAAGGATTGTGTCCATTTCTAAATTCTGTTACCTTGGTTTATTCCACAGGAGTCCATCGCTGATGAAAAACGTGTCCTCCAACCTCGATTTTGGGACCGTTCTGCATGCCAGCTTACAGGTGAGAGGGTTAGCGCGCACATTCCTGATTAGAGGAGATTGAACCAGAGTCTCTGTTTGATTTCTTCCTCTTCTTCTTTGTAGACGGCGGTGGCTGAACTGACAGGATTCAAGAAGGAGTGTGTCAGCAGAGACTCCAGGAGTCAAACACAGGAGAGCAACGCAACAAACAGCAACAGCCGTAGTAAACAAAACTTCCCTCCCGTGTAAGTCCAGCAGTGAGTTTTACTTAATGCGGACTCCAAAAATCTATGAAACGACTGACATGCTGAAATAACTGATCAACACGTCTTTGTTGTTCACCCCTTGAAGGTCTCTTTTCCTGAAAGACGAAGCGCTGAATCTTGATGACCAGGAATCTCTGATGCCAACAGTGAAAGCAGCCAGTCTGCAGCACGACACGGCTGAAGACGACGAGGAGCTTTTGTTTGGCCTTGAATGACAAGAGAAGGGCTTCAGACTTCCAGTAATCAGTTGCAAAGCAGTAAAGTAATCCTTCTTTGAACATTCAGGGACGTAGACCACAGTTTACATGTTGATCTTCAGTGTGTTGAGCCAGGAGGCCTGAAATTCTCACCAAGACAAATATACATCAAAATGGTCATATTCCATATGTGGTTTATTATATGATTCATATATTCATACACATGAAAACTGATTTTGTTGACGTGTCTGCAGCAGAACACTTTTTCTTTGAAGTACAATATAATACCACCTACAAATTGATAATTTTCTGCTTTTATGATCAGCTGAAGAAAAACATGTTTAAATATATAGGTCAAACATGTGATAAAAGAGCTAAACGTTTAGTGAAATATGAGATTCAATGTATTTAAAGCCATAAAGCTGCTCTCATTTGATGTTGATTTTTTTTTTTTCAAAGGAGACGTGTCCAAGAAAAGTGCATCATGACAAGCATGAAGTAAACATTAGAGGAGAATGTACGCAGTCAAAGATAGAGCTGGGATCTGATAGTTTGGAAGAAATTGTGTCTTTTTCACCATGAACAAAAGTAAATGATACATTCCAAAGGACAAAGTACATATTTGTTATAATATGACGAAGAGAATGAATGTGTTGTCTGTTTATTGTGATAGCTCAAATAAATAGCACAGGTTGAATGTGAATGCTACATTAAAGCAAAGAGAGAGATGTTCTGTGGTGACGGCTTTCTTTTTATTAAATATTTGATAACCTGCAGTCTGTGCTGTGGCTTCTTCTCTGTCGTCTTTGTACAATGAGCCGGTTGAAATGTGATTTATCAATGTTCATTTTCTTAAAAAGTAAGTAAAGTCACTACGTCTCGTGTGTTTCTCTGTGTGTAACTTATGTATTCAATACGGCGCTGTTTCCACTGTAATACAGATTCCACACATTCCTCTTGTATAACATTTTGAGTATTTACAATAGAAGCTGTGCACATACAAATATCTGTATTTATACATGTTTTTGTAATTACATGTCCAAAGTGTCTGATTGCGATGTAATAAATATATGTAAGTGTTAATTGTTTGTAAATGAATGCTGTTTATTTTTATCATTCTCACCTGTAATTAAATGGTGTAATAAAGACATTTGCGTTCAGTTAAATGTTATGCTGTTAGACTTTGTTACCCACCACCAGTATACTAACAGCACACGCTGCCACTGTCTTAACATGGATACACCTGTGAGAGTGTAAACGGCTATTTTATATTTTTTTGACTAATACAAATAGCAGGAGCAGGGTCATGTTGCCCAGTTTGTCTAATTCTAATGAGGATTAAGATAATAATGTAATTTTAAATCTTTTCATACATCAGCTATACAGTGCAATCCAAATCCTCCACAATATTGCAGCAAAATGCAATTTTGAATGTGTATTTAGCAATGTGTTTATGTAGATGGTGTGAACACAATGATAGTTGTGTCGTATATGAGGACAGTACAAATGCATGTACGACTGTGCATTAATTAAAGGTGCCATACTGTAAAATACTACAAATAATAATGATGAGCATCATTATATGAACAACAGATTGTCGTTTCAGAACTAATCATTTTTAAACACACAATATTTATGGCTATTTGTCTTTTGATGATCACTGAAAAAAAGATTTGACTTTATTCTCCTTTTCATCACACCATCACGTAAAATAATAAAATAAACGAATAAACAATGGCATCACGCCGTCTCCTCCACTGATGAGCACCATCAAGTGAAACTGTAGACTTCACTACCGAATGCAGAACAAAGGCCTGAGATTCTTCAGCTCCCTGTTTTGACTAATGTCAGTAATTGTCTTTGCTGATATCAAGTTAGCTTTAAGTTTGCTGTTGCCTCTCAGGGCTTCCTTTGATTCGCTGTCAGCCTATTAGATGACATTTTCTTCTGACTGCCTCTCCACGCTGCGTTCACTGACTGAAAGTTAGCATGGCGCTAGACAACTTCAACAGCTTCACTTATGTGTTGCTTTGATGTGCCATATACTCACTGTGAGGCGGGCAAGTCGACATGTTTTTTCTGCGCAGCACTTTTGACAGCACTTAGTCAACAAGCCGTCACAGAGGGCTGTTCTCTGTTCATCTCATCAGCACGTAATGATGATGCTGTCGTCCATGTGTCCAATCTCTTCAAAAAAATCCTCCTCTGTGGGAAAACAACATTTGCACAGACGAAGATTTAAATGTCACTGACTGATTACTTATGGTAAAATGGTTTGATTTTGTTCCGGGAAGTTGAAATACAAACTCTGAAATAGTGATTGATTGATTACTGTGCTCTCAAATTATATACTTAGTGTTTAAAAAATGCATGAAGACATTTACATTTTACTGCATGTTAACGGCTGTCGAAGGTAACACGGCTCGTTTAGATGAAACGTGAACACGCAAACTCCATCCACTGAGACAGACCATGAGATTGCGTTAAAAGCTAGTCAGGAGACCTTTTTTTCGTCAAACAGTAATTAAAAGAATCATAGATCAATGAGTCTGTTCATTTATGTGCAATAATGACTTGACATTTTGCACATAAATATGCAATATTAAAGTATCTAGAACAATGTTATAACCAATGTTTTTTGTTGTTTTGTACAGTTTAAGTTTTACCTGAAAATATTTTTGAATTTGTTTTTTATTTTAGAAACAATTCTTGCCTTTTCCTTCAGGCTCAAAAGTGCTGGACTGGCGATGTTGTTCACATACATGTATCTTTGTAACGCCAAACGACTTTCCATGGAGCACAGAGATTTATTACACATTCTAAAGCCCTCACTCACCATTGTTCTTCATGTGCTCTGGTTGGATAGTCTGCCTTGTCCACTTGTAGACTTCATTCACTGGCATATTCTTATTCATAAGGCTATCCTTGGTCTGCTTCTTTCTTACCTATCCTTCAAAAAAAAGCATGGCAAGTTATTGTCTTCGCTCCCAGGATTGTTTCTACTATTCGCCCTAAAGCCAGGACTGAACTGGGGAAGAGTGTTGAAGTAATGCTGTTTGTTTCCTCTGGTTGGAATCAGTTAAATCACCTGAATCTTCAGGAGCTGGTCTCTCTGCATTTAGAGGCAATTTAAATGACTTGGAGGCAGGCACAGCTGGCACGTTTTGATTGATTGGTGCCTTATGTTTTGATGACTTGTGAAGAATGTTGATAAATGTTTTTGATATTTTATGATTCTGTGATTTGCTCTTTGTTGGCTTTTTGTGTTCCATGTGGTTTGCTTTTGTTTCTGCAACATTTGAGGTGCCGCCTTTCTCGGCATAAAAAAAAGAGATCTTTAATCTCAATTGAAACTCCCCCTTGGTTAAATAAAGGTCAAAGAAATAAATAAAGCTGTGTCTTACCACATGTGGGATGGGCCAAACGTTTGGCATGATATCGAAATAAATACTGACGAACAAACTATTAATTCTGAAGCATGAATTACATAATTACAGAGCAAATTAGTAATTGCATAATGCAGGCTTGATAGTGTTTGACAGGTTTGTATGAGATGAGAGGGCGAGAGAGCTTGCAAACACACAGAATTCAGCTAACACACTTGTGGGGCATGTGTCTCCATTGTGTTAGCTGACTAAAAGCAGAACAGAGGAGGCAACGTAGAGTCACAGAGCAAAGCCTCGGCCGCGTCTGCTGTTCTGTGATGTTTAGAGCGGCCACTCGGTGATCTGCTGGGAAGGGGAGTATTACTAAGTCACTGAACAACAACAAACCCCCCCCCCCCACACACACACACACACACACACACACACAGTACAGCTCGCAGTCTCCTGAGCGGTGACTCAGGTCGGCATGTTGGGTGTTGTTGGAGGTTTCCTGACCTCTTGGTGCTGACAGAAGCAAAACGGTGAACGGTTGAACAAAGTGTAACAGAGACCCTGAGCAGTCATGAGTGTCAGACATGTTACCAGCAGACCATTTACTTGTGGACGGGACGGAGGAACCGAGCAACCTGACTAAAGGCAAGTACTCATCATCACCTGACCTGAAATAAGCTGTAAAAGCAGCTTATTTTTCTTCACACATATGAGCTGCTGCTATGGCCACTTATGAAGCTTCAAATGAAAGGGACAATGTTTTTAGGACCATTTGTATCCCAGCAATAGTGAAAGTTTTCAGTGTTACCTGAAGAAACTTGGGCGGTAAAAGTCCTGAAACACAATGAACACCATGGGACACTGAAGCATCTTAATTATTGATGTGAGAAGCTCTTTAAGACAGGATTACGCTGCATATATTAAATAATAGTGATTTTGATAAATGACTGCTGTCTTTATGTGAAACAATGTACGTAAAGTGAATTTTGTGGTCGGTGAGGAATCTGTCTTATCTTTCGATGGCTCGTCAGCTAACGTTACTTTCTTCTGATGTGTCTCAAGTTAGTGAGTCTTTACAATCAGCACGGGGAATCCTTTCAGCATGTGACCCTGTTAGCAGAGGAAATACCCCCCCCCACTGACCTCATCCGCAGTAAGTGGAAAGTGTGAGATCTGTACAGCAAACAATACAGTGACCAAAACTAGATGTAAAACATCTGGAGAAAACGCTAATTGAGCATTTATATCCTGTTGATATTACTATTTTCTGCTTTTTTATTTTAACAAGCAGCATTATATTCGTTATATATGAGAACACCTCCTATATTTGCATCTTATTTGTTTATATATGTGGTTATTTCCTTTACTTAGATTTCACCTATTTCTCCCATCCACACCTTACAACTATACATAATTATTTTATTTTATTTTGCACATGCATACCCATCTGTTTATGTATGAACATTTGATTTATGTGTTTTCATGTTGTTAATTTTTGTTTTTTGAGTTTCTGTTTTATTTGTTTATTCTGTAATTATTTGTGCTTGAGCTTGAAAAGTGCTGTATAATTAATATTAATATTCCTGGGTGCAAAACGAAGGCTTTATATTCCAAAACTGGTTTACAATTACCAGTCTGTTTCTAATAATTAAATTCCAGATTGATTACAGCTTGAATCTGCTTTGTGCTCACTCAGAAGCTTTCATCACAAAGGAATTCTATTCCTGTTCTGTGACGATGTAGGAGGACAATCTTCACTGGATGTGTGTCTGTCTTTTTGCCCAGCCCAGCCTCAGCCTGCTGCAGCCGCACCAGCAGAGGCCTCACAGGAGGCAGCGGGGTTTAAGGAGCCTCAGTATGACCTACAGACCTGCCTACGATGTGGCCTCACAGTCCCAGACCACAGACTCCCCCCTCCGTCACCGGGCCTGAGCCGACTGCAGGGCTCCAGCCTGTCTGTGCACAGCAGCAGCAGCAAGAGGAGCAGGAGGGGCAGGGGCAGCGTGTCTGGCTCACAGCAACCTACTGCTACACCTGCTGGTAGGAACAATAATGTGCCTTCACTTCCACGCTGTTTAAATTTGACTGGACAATATGATCTACAATTGATATCCTAATAAATTGACACATTGATCTCAATAAAGGTAGTAATTAAATAAGTTTTACATCGATATAAATCATTTCTGTTCCTGATCTTACTTTTTCTATCTACTTTCAAATGTATAAATGCATTAAATACTGTATGACAGTACATATTCTGGACTGAGCCTTATTAAATTCACGTTTTGGGAAAATAAGTTACAGTGAGGGCAAAAAACATTTAATTGATTTTCTGTGTTCCCACCATAGACAATCCATCTCCTTACAAACGCAAAGTTTCCCTTGAAGACTTTCAAACTGCTGCACTTTCGTCCAGTTTTATCAAAGCGTGCAGCGGGCCACTCCTTGTTTATCCTTGTGTTCATGTTGTTATCTCTCTGAAGTTATGCATTAAATCAATACGGTAGCCACACATAATGCTCCTTTTTCATCTACACACATATATATATAGATATTAGCATAAGTTATGTGCGGGGGTGTATAATTCGAGCGGCTAAGCAGGAAAATGCTGAACCCCACTCCCCAGGGAATTCTGCCACCTGCTTTTCATTTACTTCCTTGAGTAAACAGGATAAAACAGCTCAATTTGCATGAGCTCACTCACTTTCTGGTCCTTGTGAGGATGAAAACGGTAGCTGAGCAACAACACAACGGTTAGGACTTGCAGGAGATGCACTGTAACACACCAGTGGGGTTAATGCATGCAATTTCATCTGCGCCTAATTTGGGTGGGAGAGCAATTATCTCGTGACAGCTTCCTCCTAGTTGTTGTTCATCGCTGGAAACCTCGCTGGCCTTTTTCATTTTCCCCTGAGGACTGAACGGAGCTCTGTGATTAAGTAAACACAATCACACTTGATCACGGCAGTGGCGTAGTTTGTCTTTTAAGTTCTAGTTGGCACGACAAATAAACATGCAAGAGATTAATTTGGGGTTAATAGAATCATTAGTCCCCGATTGTGATGGTGTCTGACAGGCTTTTAGAACATACAATAGCAATTCTGTGACCTCAAATGTGATATTCGTGGCTAAATCCTCTTTTTTCCTCACCCACAGACTCCTGTTTACACCTGCTGCTGGCATGCCTTTCGTGCCAGTGCTCCGTGCTGCTCCTGGGTCTGTTGGAGGCCTGTTCCTCCTGCCTGGACACCCTCTGCTCCTGCTGCTGCCACGCCTGCGCCCGCTGCTGTTCGGCCATCCAGGAGGCGCCCGTGGAGGAGCTCAACTGCCACGCCCACTGCCACTCGGTGCTGTTCGAGTCTTGCTGCGAGCCGACCGAGTGTCTAGAGTTTTGTCTGGAGTGCTGCGAGATCTGCCATCGCAGCTAGCACACCGTCAGGCCTGAGCACTAATCTATAAGACATGTGGCAAGACTGAAACGAAAGACATTAAAAGCCAACGTGGAATTCATTAGGACGGCAATGACATTTCTTTTGACTAAACGTCTTATTCTCAAAGTTGTGGACAGCTTCAAACAAGCAAGTCTTTGTGATCACCTCATCCATCTACTAATAATTCTTCCACCACATGCTGCTAAAACTTTTGACGGTCGCTTTCCAAAGAGGGAAGATGTTATTTTAGTGCTTCACACTCTTCGTCGTGACCTAAAGCACTTTAAAATAATAATAACAATAATAATTGTCCAAGAAGTAGATAAGAACATTGATATCCACACTTAGGCTTATATGGTGTTAATCCATGCTAAAGCACAAACAGGCGTTTCTACACTTCTGTTTGTGTACAGATTAAACAAACGAGATACAGTTTGTTACTTATGTGAGATATAGAGGTGCTGGTCAGCACAATTCTGAATTTTGGATGGAGCCAAGCCAGCAGTTTACCCACTATTCCAGTCTTTATGCTAAGCTAAGCTAATCACCTCCCCTATCCATACTTAAAAGAATAGTTTGACATTTTGGGAGATACGCATATTCACTTTTTCATCGAGTTAGACGAGCACGTCGATACCACTCTCATATTTGTCCGTTAAATATGAAGCTAGCAAGAGAAAGATAGTTTAGCATCTGCCTATCGGCACCTCTCCAGCTCATTCATTGGTCATTGTGCACAGAGCAGTACCACAGGGGTTATTTGATGGACTCTTTGTGGCATGGAGCATTGACTTCCTGGAGTATTGTCGTCACCATGAGGTTACCAGGCTAGCTGTCAACCCCTGTTTACAGTCTTCATGCTAAGCTAAGCGCCTCCTGGCTCCGGCGCCAACGCTCCAGTCATGAGAGCGGTGTAAATCTACGTATCTGACTTGCAAGAAAGCAAATGAGTGTATTTCCTATTCCTTTAACATCTGTGCCTTCTCATATGATTGCAACAGCAACCACGCTGAGGGAAAAGGATGCATTATTTATCGCCTGGTTGATTTAGTGGAAATTAGATTCAAGGACCTTTTGAAATGTTAAAAGAAATGTGTCAAGGTAATTTGTTCTGCTTGTTAAATTCCTTTGGATAGACAGGGTGAATAAAATTGAAGCCAGAGTGGGGCTCAATAATACTCAAACAAACAACAACAGAAACTTGCAGCATGTACAAACTACAGTGCATTCCAGATTCAGGCTTTATTCTCCAGAAATACAGCTTTTTGTTTGTACATCAAGTTTCATTTAACGACTTTGACCCAGCAAGACCCTGACCCAGAGGGGTCTAGCCTCTTTGCTGTTTTGTACGGGTTCTCATGTTGTAAGATTGCAGGTTTGACTTCTCCCTGCACAGCTCTTTGCAGCTGAGGAACAGGGCGACAAAAAACTTGTCAGCTCTCTCGTGAATCCTTTTTCATATGTGGCATAAAAAGCACTTGGAACATAAAAGGATGCTTATTCTCTCCAGATCTTGGAAGATCGAAGCGGGCTCCTTTAAAGTCGTCGCGTGAGATGACAGCAGACAGGCAGAGTAAACAGCCAAAAATAAAACAAAGTGGCGATAAAGACAGCACTGTCAATCTGTCCGGGCGAGCCAAGAGGCTCATTTAAACCATGTTAGAGCGAGTAAATCAAATTTAAGTATCTCTTTTGCCCACAACGCATTCCGATTCTGCTAGTGACAAGAAACAGCAGTGACGTCCAATTTAGAGCATGGCGAGCATACACCAACAAATAAACACTGGTTTGTTCCACTTGTCCCCCTCAATTTGTTATACCCTTTACCCACAGCTGACGTCTACCTCCACAATAAACAGCTGGTATTGTCAGAGTGAATTCAGAACCACAGCGGGATATACAGAGGGATGTATATTTTTGCTGTGGAGTAATGATTTGAAATCACCACGAAAATAATTTTGATGAAAATGATGCCTTTTCATTTTATTGTGGTACAAATAGAAATAATTAAACTAGCAGCTTTTGTTACAATAGGATGCAGGAGACGGAGACATTTCTGTTCTGTAATTAGGTCGACCAAATGGCAATTAGTTCGTAACTATCGGGTCAATAGATGTTAGTCTATCTGTCTAGAATGACAAATATTTTCCCGTTCCAGCTACTTAACTGTGAGGATTGTCTCATGTACCCGTAGATTGAGACCCCTGATTAGGACCGTCATGCTGGGGAATACAATTCACATTAAGTATAAATTACCACTTAAATAAATAGAGGAGCATTCTTGTTAATACGGCTTGAAAAAGGTTTGACTTTTCTTATATTGTTTTGTGTCACGCTCATATTTGGGTTTGAGAGATGCATTTGCACATTCCTATCACGGTAGTAAAGATATATAAATAAAATGGCCTGTTCAGTTGACAACCTCATGACGCGTCCTCGGCTTGAGGTTGAACACCGACACCTTGTTCTTTCTTAAGAGCTGTCGGACTAGCAGTCTGAGATAACAAGACTGGGCATCTCAGCTGGAGGATGACCCAGTGAGGAGCGGTTTGTTTTAAAGCTGAGCTGCTTTTCACAAACAACCCTTTCAACATTTTCTCTCTTCAGAATCTGTCTATTAGTATTCTCGCACGCCTCCAAAGCTTTATGACAATGGTTGTAACCTCCTCAATCAAAACGAGCTTTTCGTGTAGTGTATGAAGTGGCATCTATTGAAAAAAGGGGAAATAATAACACCTAATAGTCAGTCTGTCAGATGTGCCCATCTGCTGTAAAGGAAACAAAAATAAATGTAACCAGATTTGAATATCTAACATTTGAGGCTGACGCAGAGAGGACGGATCAAAGGGAAGAGAGACACACCAGAGGGGGGCAATCATAAACACATTGTCTCATTTTAATAAGTGAGGGGAATGGTTTTTAAACCAGCGCGCATCATCAAGTTTCATGTGTTCGGGAGTGTAGACGTGGGGGGGGGGGGGGTAAAGTGAAGTACATCAAAACATAACTAATGAGGGGTGGGCTAAAAATGGCTGTGCATGAAATATTGATGGCAAAAGCTGCATATTATGTTGAATTTGAGATACCTGGATTCTAAAGCACGTTCTGCACACGACAACAAGAACACAGAGTGATTCAAGCACAAGAGAGGTCAGTACGAAACGTACACTCTTCTACTACAGCTCAACTGAATCCAATAAGGAAATACTTTCATCAATCATCCTTTCATAACTATTCAGTCAGATACTTGGAATCTATCCGTCAGAGGTTTTAACAGGCGTAAGAAGCGGGGTTAAAAGGAGAGATTTATACTGTGAATGTACTTCATATTTAAGTTCAAGTACTATTTGTATAATAAGTAACATCTGTAATAGTTAAATATGCATGTTTTATATTTATGAATATTTCTATTCAATGTCAATAGCATGTTTGTCTCACATGCTATTCAAAGTTTATTTTGTTTCATTTTTATTTATTTTTGCCCACGTTGGATTTATTCTGTATTTATTGGTTTGGTTTACTTTTTATTTTTGTTTCGTCAATATCTGGACAATTTTGTTTAGGACATATTAAAACAAAATCACAATCAGTCACCTTTCAGACCCCTTCACAACAAACTAAATGATGGATTTATGAATCCCTGCTCGTTTTATTGTCGTTCCTCATGTCCACTCCAGACACCGATGGCTCACTCAAAACAAAGGTTTTTTTTACTTTTATATTTTATTTGCAACTTTAGAGTATTCTGTAATGTACAGGCGTCATAAACGTTTTCCTATATGTAATCTGTTACAGTATTTATGAAATGAATGAACGAAAAACAAACAAAAAGCGCGTGTTTCACTTTCGGTGGCCCTGAAAAGCAAGCGAACCAAAAGCTGAAATGACAGTCGTATAAATGTAGTCACCCTGTTTCAATAGCCAGAGAGTATTCCAGCTCGTCTTATTCAAGTATATCATGTTCATAAAAAAAATAATAATGAATAAATAAAACAAACACAATACTCCAATGAGTCTAGACAGATATTGCACCATTTGATGGCACGTACCAAATGTAATATCTTGGCAAAACGATGAATGATGCAAACATCAAATACTTAGAAATTTAAATTCAGCAACACCAATATTCACAAATAAAAATCCAAACCATTGTATTGTCCTAATAAAAACAAAACTTACCGATTGAATGGAATTAGTCAGACGGAACAAATACTTTTGAGGTTCTCGCTAATTGTACCCATCAACGATGCAATATATATATATACACATATATACATATGACTCACACCCTTTGCTCCTGAGTGGTTAAGTGCAATGTGCATTATGTTTGCTTTCTTTCATAAAAGAAGGGAGAGTAAATATGTACAAAGTTCCATTCTTGGTGTGAAATAACTGGTGTTTTTTTTAATGGCTGAAGTATAACGATGACTTCGAGCAGCTGTGAATCGTGTTCAGATCATGTTGTTCTTCTTTAGTACCTCCAAGTACTGCTGCGTCGCCCTGCTGACGGGGTCCAGCTCCGCCCTCGAGGCAGAGCCCACGGGGGACATCCGGGCTGAAGTCACGTCCAGCTCTGCTGTGGCTGACGACCAGAGAGAGACCACAGTTACCATCAGTGAGCAGCAGCTACAAGTCAAATACTGCTCGCGTCCGATTCATCTTTAAGATATCAAGGTGTTTTTAAGACAGCTACGACGTGTGCCTTGTTCACAGCTTCAGAGCGCTCACCGTTGTTTAGTTCTTTCGATATGTTTCTATCCAACTCACTCTGCATCTGGAAAAAAAAGGCAAAGATGTCGTTAGATTTCAGATCGAATGTTTTTGGTGGAAAATATCAGCCGACATAAACCGAAAGAATATGGCCTTAAAAATAAAAAGACAGAAACAATGATGTTTCACCACCAAACACAATACTATGGTGAATGGATAGTGGAGAAACACACTGCAAGGAAATCAGGACTATTATGTGAAGCAGGACATCCAAACATGCAAGCTCTGCTTTAGAGTACCGATGTTGCCTTTAAATCTTGAGTCAATACGGTCAACCGATGACCCAAAATTATGCAAATAGTTTGACCAAGGTACACTGGTACATTCATAAAAGTCCGCATGCAACATATCAAGGATAAAGGTATTTCTCTAAAAACTGTTAGTATTCCAGAATTGTATTTCTCTATGCACGCAGAATTAGATGTACACACACCGACATTATAAACATACAGTATGCACATGGTACGTGTTTACTCCATTTAGTTTGGTATTATTTGCCTCATCAGCCCTGAAATGTTTTAATCCTGGTTCTGTGTTCGTAGAGCACTTTGTAACGTTGTTTTGAAAAGTGCTGTATAACTATTATTAATATAGTATATACACAAACATTTCTTTTTTTATCAGTTCAAATGAACATGTTAAAACACATTTAATAAATTCAACGGTCCCGTTTAGCTTCAACTCTTTACTTGAGCTTAATTCATCTGTTTCAAGTCCTATTATGAATCTGTCCATTTTGTCGCTCCATTGAGCATTTTTCCAAACAACATTTCCCTTCACATTGTCTTTTTGTGGCTTACTAAATCTGCTTTAGAATAGACAAATTATCAACAGTACAAATGATCCTTAAAAAGGCCCACATCATCTCTACTCTAGCAGTCAACTTACAGCATGGAGAAAGTCAAGTCGAAGCAAAGAGACAGAGTGTCGTGTAGTCAGTTACATAACGAACCACACAATGCAAAACCCAGGCTTCTTGCACATTTCACAAGTAACATTATATTCTATTCTTTTGCCATTAAACCTTTAAGGTATGACATTTGTTATGTCACTTTAAACAACTGTGTGGATCCTTTAAGTAGGAAATTCCTGAAACACAAAGCAGGAAAAAGCGCTGCAATTATCAGGACCACTGTAATCATTTTTTTAAAGTTTACATTCTACAACAACTGCGTTTTCAATGTGCAAACCCTGAACATCGTGGTTGGCATGTGAACAAAGCTATTAATGTCGGCCCACCAGCAGGGTGAAGGGAATAGCAGCCAATCAGACACCGAGCTAAACACGTCTACAAACCTGCTTATGGGTCTGGCTGAAGAGAGGAGAGATGAGAGACAGACTTTTGAGCTAGAAGCTATAAGAGTGAGAAATAGAAGACAGGTTAGAAGTAAAGTCCCACTACCATAAAGGCGAGAGATAGAGTGAGGAAGAAACAATGTGCAGGAGGAAGAGGAGGAGTGGGGGAAGAAATGACTCTTCTTCTTGTAAAGTGGGCGAACAGGTGTTAAGAGAGCCATTAGATCAATATTTACTTTCTTTTAACAATGTCTTCTCCACAATCTGAAATATGTGATGTGTAATGTCTTAATACTGACAGATGAACATGTGTCTGCAGGTATGACAATGCAACAACACACTAACCTGTGTATAGCAAGCAACATCTTTGAACAGAACGGCACCAGTTACACAATAACAACGCTGACAACCATGACGCTATGGAAAATGAAAATGGCCTCCATAAAAAATATGTAATCACCATGACTAATGGCCGTACAGACCTTGGCTAGATAATCCTCCACTCTGCTGTTCTGCCCGTCGGTTACAGGGCTGAGGAAGGAGAGACCCAGGCCTAGGCTCCTGTTGAGGGGCCCCAGTGTGGCCCCATAGTGTGCTGGTGAACTCAAAGAGCCCACGTCCAGCGAGGGCCCTCCGAGACTACCGTTTGCGATGCTGCTGGCGATCAGAGACCTGCTGCGCTCGTTGAGCAACTTGGAATTGGCATCTTCGAGCCGGCTGCTGGCCCTGTGGGGGAAACCATTGACACAATACAGGTTTGTCAGCATCAGCACCGTTTATGTCCGATTGCCCCATAGAAACCTGGTCTCACCTCTCTAGTTTGGCAACCAGAGACTTGCGATGGCGCAGCTCCTCTGTGTAGAGTTGGCGGTATCGCTCCAGCTCTGTGCGAGTGGAGTCTCTTTGGTTGAGGCTGTCATGATGGGTGGTACGGGCCCGGCCCAGTTCCCCCTCCAGCTCCCGGATCTTCTGCTCCAGCTGGGAGCGCAGGTTGGCCTCATTGGTCGCTTTGATCTGATCCAGTGCTTCTTGGGATGCTGCCTGGGACTGAGAGACAAACACAGGCAATCATATTAAATCAGGCTTAGTGACACCGAAGCAGCCATGTCCATAAATACACAACAACCCACTTATTCAGGAGATTTATTATTCTGACTTCAGTCTGTTTCATCATTTCTTTAAGTTTCTTTTATATTTCTGTTGTGTACGCTGTAGAATATTTGCTCAAGTATGGACTTCATTCACATTAATCAATAAAATACACCCGACAGAGCTTTTACCTGCAGGAAGATGTTGACCTGCTCCAGTTTCTGTTTTAACTCCAGACGGGCCCGCTCCTCTGCGTCATGGCGGTACTGCTCCATCTGGCTCTGCTCCATCTGAGAAGCCTCCATTCGGCGTCTCAGGTCCAGCACTTCCTCCTCCAGCTGCCTCTTACTCCTCTCCAGTTGGTCATTACTGCAGTTCAAGCTCTTCAGGGAGGCCAGCTGATCCTTAAGGTCACCGTTCACCTTCTCCAGCTGGCTGCGATGGGACCCTTCCTTCTCCAGCTGCCCCCGCAGATCGTTCACCTGGTAACATAAGAAAGGTTAGCGCTAGTAGCAGTATACTATTTAGGGGATATATACCAAAATCACAATGCTTTACCACACAGACAAACCTTTTCTTTCATTCGTCCAAAGGCCCCCTCGGCCTGGCCGTGCCTGCCTTGGTCCGCCTGTAGACTGCTCATAGGAGAGCCAAATTCAGCTCCACCTGTTTCCTGATCCCGCAACTTCTTCTTAGCGGTCTTCAACAAAGTACGCAACCTAAAACACATACACAAATACTAGAAGTAAACAAATAAATAAATACAAAGTGAATATCTAATACAAATCTTTTGCAATCGAGAATTAAGTAATGACCTAATACGCATGGCTTTCTCAGAGACTCCATATCAGCTTAACTAATGATATGCAAAGTTATTCCAAACAGTGTAATTATTCACCCAATGAACAAAGCTGCAACCAGTTTTGACTACATGTAACTCATTTATACCAACTGTTCAGATTAAAAACATCAAAACAACACAGAAAATATTCTGAGAATACACAAACCAGTCGCAATTAAGTTGGCACACAAAAACACCAGACAGACAAACTTCAGGGACTTATTATGGATTGACAGGAGGAGGAGGTAAAAAAAAACTGAAAACCTTACACCAGATACACACCACAGCCACATAAGCCGGGAAAGACTGCGCGCTACTGGATCTTAGTCGTGTCTACATAGTAGGAAGGAGTGCTGCCGTGGGTGAGAAGGGAGCGAGGAGGAGGCTAGGAGTCACCTGTACATTTCTTTTTGAAGCTCTGTGTTTCTATTCATCTCCTGATCCAGCCGGGTGTCCACAGCCTTCTTCTGCTCCGATATTTTCTTGGCTTTCTTCTTTTCTATTTCCATCTGGAACACAGCCAATAACTCTTGAGGCCCAAACCACGGCATTATATTAATAAATCCATCATACACAACATTAGCCTGTATATGAGCACCTCACTATGATCACCTGGGTGCTCAGGTTTCCCTTTTCCTTTTCAAGCTCTGCCAGGCGCAGTCCTAACTTAGAGCGGCCCTTCAGCTCCTCCTCCCACAAGGCCTGAGAGTCCTGGGCTGTGTGAGACAGCATGCTTTGCTTCTGGACCTGAGGAAGAGAAAGACACAGGTGAGAAATGTAAGCATCACACATATACATATTATTTTAAAAACGTCCTGTCAGCTTGTTACAATGATCAAATTTTAGATAGCTGGTTAAACAGCAAACTGTACATCTCACCCGTGAGTAAAATGTCTTATTTCTCACTAGTTTAACCTGCTTTATTTATTCAATAGAATCTATCAGTTAAAGTTTAAAAAGACTTAAAACGATCACTTGGTTCTTAATTTCCAGAAAGGGTTTGGGGTGTCTTTGGACATATGTTTGCTGATATTGCGAATTTTGCAACGATACGATTTTGATTAGATTCTATTCAGAGACCTTCGATCGTTGTAAAACGATATACTGTATGCCCATATAACACAATCAGTTACATTTATATCGACCAAAAGCAACTAAAATATGATTTGACAATTTTGTTTCTGGGCCTTTTGGAAGGAGGTGCGAGTGGACAGAATTACTGACAAAGACTTTCCATGGGAATTTCAAAATAAAGGCATATCCTAAAGATGATACATTATGATTTTTCACTCATTGATAATATTGGATCATTGAGTAGATTTATCAATCCACATCGATGCATCATAACACCCTCTTGAAAATATTAGCTTCAATAGTTATATTTCGGACGACTCATTGTTTTACACTGCTCTGCTTCAACAAACAGTCACGATCAAAATAGTTCGTCCAATGCTTCCATTTTCTCAAATAGGGCTACTTTTCTGTTTTATGTGTGAACTTAAAATTGTGTGGTATTCTAATGATGTTGTTTGCACAAACAACACGCTTTAAAAAAGTCAGATTATTACCCTTTTAGTGATCATGAGAAGGGAACATTTGTAAGGAACTCTTTTGTAGGAACTCCCTGCTCAGACTGGTCAGAGGTGAATTACAGACTTAATAAGATGAAAGTAAGAAATGGAAATCTAAGCTGAAGATTTTCTGAGTGAGGAAACAAAATATGCCACCAACCTCCCGAGTGAGTTGGTCTTCCAAAGTCATCTTACTGCTTTGGAGGTTTGTGACCAAGTCCTCCAAATGACCTCTGACCTACAGAAATAAGGAACGTTTAAAACATTTAAACATAATGTAGAGAGGGTGCTTTAGTTCGTGTTTCTATTGTCTTTTGTTTATCATTTTGGAAAGTTGAGAGGACAGTTTAGACTGCAGGAAGTAACATGCATCATGCAGCTTAAGACAAAAACGAGTGAAAGACCCCAAAACCAGGCTAAAGAGAGAAAACGCATGTTGATGTCACCAAGAAAAAACCCAAACTGACACAAAGCTTTTACTTCCTCCACATGTTTGATTTCTGGTCTAGCAGCGCAAAAACTCCACAAAGCCCGAGTGCATTTCATTTTGATTTCTGGTGATTTATATAGTAGAAAAAAAAACTAAAAAAGTAAGAAAACAGAGGTAAGCCCACACAAAGAAACTAAGCCTAAATCCACAATACCAACCCCTCCTCCAGGCGCACAGTCAGACAGCTGGAAAAAGATTGAATACCTTAAAATGACTTCACAACGTAAAGTCAGCTATTTGATGTCACAATACTTAGATATTGTACTTTGCTTCTTTTTTTTAATCCCAAAAAATAAACATGTTGCCACAGAGAACACTCACCATGGCAGACTCCTGACCCCCTTTCTGAAGTGCATCAATTCTGTTGGACTGTTGCTTTGCAGCAGCTTCCAGCCGGGCGTTCTCTATCTCGAGCCTAATTTAACATCACAAATACTCACACACTGTATACTGAAACACATCATCTAGACTCATGGCTGACAATACATTTAACATAATGTAGTGAATATGTGGCAGCTAATAAAATAAAATAACTGGATCAAACTTTAATCCAAAGTGTGTGTGTCCAGAATGTGTTAGTACATACTGTTGCACAGCTTGCTCCAGCTGTTTGATGGTGGTCTCAGAAGCTGCTGAGGCTGACAGCGCCCCCCGGTGTTTCTGAGCAGCAGTGGTGAGTTCCTTTTCCTTCTCGTCCAGAATGCTCTTTAGACTGTTGATACGTTTCTCAGCTTGCACATACTGGTCTTCGCTTTCCTCCAGCTACATGATAGAGACAACACATCCACCTCATCAGCATTGCTTACAAAAGGACTTAACTTAGAAAATAATGAGCCATCTCATTTCAGTACAGCTTCAAAGTGTTTGTCTCATAATCATGAACACAGTTGGAATCGTTGATGTGGTGAAAATATGCTGCCACAAGGTGTCACTGTTCGCTGCTGTTACCTTTCCTTTGACCCGGTCCAAGTCTTTAAAGAGGCGGGCCTTCTCCTCCTCCAGGTCATTGCGGTAGCGTGTGTTGACCTCCAGAGTAGCCTCGCTCATTGACAGCTTCTTGAGTGAGTCAGCTAGCTCTTGCTGCAGCTGCCTTAGACTAGTCTGTGCTCAGACATATTTCAAAGAAAGTAGGGTTTGATTAGGGAAAAAAAGGGAAATCATAAACTGGCATGTGCAAGAAAGGCTAAGATTGGGTCTGGGAGAAGAAGTTAGGTAATCCTTTTACAGAGTCCTAATCTTACCTCTCTTTCGTTCTTCTCTTCCTCTAATTTGTAGATCTGATCTCGGAGATCAGCAGCCTTGCTGGCGAGCTCCTTATTTCTCTCCTCCACTAGTTGTACTCGCTCTTCGCTGTCAGAGCGCAGCTTGGACAGAATGTCACTGAAGCGCTCTTGGGCGTCTGTCACAGCACGCTCTTTTGCAACGCCTTTGTTTTGGGCCTCCTCGAGCTGTTGCCGCAGTAGCATGCCCTCACTCTGGGTTTGGGCTAGCCGCTCCTGCGCGGCCTCTTGGCGCGCTCCGACGCGGCTGATCTGCTCCCTCTCGGTCTGAAGGGACGATTCTAGCTCCTTGAGGCGTACGGCCGCCTGGTCCTTCTCCCGCTGTTGGACCTCCAGCAGTAGGCTTTTCTCTGTCAGCTGCAGCGTGGCCCGATGAACTTCATTCTCCATACTGTTTGCACGAGTCTCTGCCTTGGCCAGCTTCTGGGACAGGCTGTTGACGGCCTCGCGTTGACTGGCCGCGTCACCTGTACAAATAAAATCGTTAGGAGTTACAAACCGGCTCCCAGTTAAGCAAAAAAGATGCGCATAACAACAGCTGCTTGTACAATTAAATTAAATTGAAACTGAATTGATTAAAATCTGCTACAGTCAAGCTCTTTTCACTCCATCTCCCCTTAAACAGATATGCATAAATGAATGAATTACACATAAGGTCACAAACAGCTCTTCCAAGCTGATGTGCCTGTTTGATAAATAACTTTCATGTCTCTAAGCGTGGAATATGTCTGAAACAAAGCACATAGCCTGGTTGATGGTTGGAGCTGTCCATCCATTCCTTTCTCTACTGACCTGTGAGTCTGTCTTTAAGACGCTGGTGTTCCTCTTTCTCCCGGAGCAGAGCTCTCTCTGTGTCTGTGCGAGCTGCCATGCAGAGCTCGGCCTCCTTTACGGCTCCAGCCAGGCGGATACGAGTGGACTCAATTTCTGCGTCCAGTGTTTCGCGGGTCTGCCGCTCATTTTCCAGACGGGTTGTTGTCAAAGCTAACTCGGACTTCAGGGTGGTCACCTGGTTGTTGCAGTTGAAGACAGTTTGGGTCAGGGCTTCAGTGTTGAGTTTGAGATCTCGCCGAGCATCCTCCAGCTGCTCTTTGAGAGTCTCGTTCTCATCCAAAAGGTGGTCCTCTTTGAGACTGCTGTTGGCATGCGAGCGCTCGAGGTCCATTCTCAGGATGGTCAGCTGCTCCTGGAAGGTAGCGCTCTGCTGCAGCAACTCCCTCTCCCTGTCACTGGCTTCAGTGAGCTGAGACAAGGCCTGAGAACAGGAAATAAAATTAATAAGTTAAGATTGCCTCGAGTCTGCAGGTTTTCTTTACTGATTTAATTTCTAAATGTATGATTTATTATCAAAGTATTATAAATACTAATCTTCTATTAGCAGCACCAAACTATAGCACTCTTACTTCATTTTCAAAACCGAACCGGCACCAAATGTTTTCCTGTTCACTTCCAGCCACTTATAAAGTAACACAATATCAATAGATGCAAAATGATAGAATATCATCTAAACCATAAACCAAACTAAAGCAATGGATACCAATATGTGAGGATTACCTCATTGCTTCTGCTTATGTTTCTCTTGTTGTCGTTCTCTATCTCCTGCTGCTTCCGGAGATGGCTGCTGAGCAGATTCTCCTGCAGCGTCCGAGCACTGCGCTCCTGAGCCAGCAGTCTCTGGGTCTCACTGTGGTCCTCTTCAAGCTGGGTGGTGGACATTTAAAGCACTAATCAGTCACCATCACATACACACCAAACAACAGCTGGACAAGCTGGAGACTGATACAACTCTCAACAGCATCTCATCACCATAAATACAAAATAATGAGAATTACTTTATACAAAGTACTGTATTTGAAATGATCTAATGAATAAAGCTATGTTAACTCAATATCAAAACACAATATTAGCCGAGATCAATATAGTGAAAACACATGTTGGACGGAAAAACTAATGAAGTTTAAATAGGGTGTACCTGTTTCATGTTGTTGACCAGTGTTCTCATATCCAGCTCCAGATTCCTGAGGGAGAGCTCCACCTTCTGTCTCTCCTGTACCTCTAACTGATGCTGCTCCTCCATCCTCCTCAGCTTATCTCTGGTCGTGTTGTACATCATGGTGGCATTTCGGCGATTTTCCTGCTCCTGTTTCAGCTGAAATCTATACCAAGTTTCAGACAGAGAAATAGGCAATCACATAAGATGCAGTATGATGCACATACACATGAGAAGAAATGGCTGGAGAGTACTCTCGCGTTCGAGAAACGGAAGTTGTTCCCACTTGAGGTTTGTGACTTCGGTCTGCAGCTCCAGCTGGTTGCGCTCCAAGGCAGATTTAAGGTCTTTAACTTCCTCCAGAGAGCTCTTCAACTCAGCCCTCTCCATTTCCAGCTGGCTCACTTTGTCTGCCAGGTACCCATGGCGACTCCTCGCCTTCTGGATGGAGCGCTCATATTCGTGGAAAATGTTCTGCAGCTTCACCATGCTTCTCGCGTCTGTGAGGGATAATATGGCAAGTCTTACCAGTTAAGGAGCTTACACCAGATCTTGCTTCACAAACTGAATAAGTTACAAAAGTCATGAAAAGGCAGAAATAATTACTCATTATTATTATATAAATTAGCATTTGAAGCGGCTGAATCAGTACCCAAAGTGGCTGAGTCCAGCTTCTGAATGAGGAGGGCCGCGTGGCGATAGCCTGAAGTGGGAGAGTCGACTTCCTCTGTTGCCGTGTCGGATGACTGAGTAAGTTCATCAAAGTCTGCTGCCAGCCCGTCTTCCTCAGGGTTCTGAATATAGAACCAAAGTGGGGTGTTTATATTATTCTTATTCTGTACGCAAATTTCAATCCAGTTCTGAACAGATTTTGTGTTTTACCTCATTTTTCTGTTTTTCACTGGTTGGAAACCAGAGCCCATTAGAATGCAGAGAAGAAAAAAAAAGGGTTATTTAGGAAACTGATGTGCATGTTCTCAAGATAAGAGAGCTGTATTGGAGAGTTGTTGGAAGTGTAATGGTATAATGCAGTATACTACTGATTTTTTTTGAAAATCAGAGGTTAGTCATGCAACTATGTGGGTAGAAAATCATTAAAATCATGAAGAATTGCATCCTACTGATCACCCACCACCAATATTGTAACGGTTTGTTTGGACTGAATGCAAAGATCTACCGTAAACAGAGACCTTTCTCCCTAGAACGAATCTGTGACTGTTCACGTCTACTCACTTCTTTCCGTTAGCTTTGTGAAGTTGTGCTGCCTGTCTAATTAACTTTGCGTTCAGTCTGAACACACCTTACGAGTTAGTGACAGAGAGGTGAAATTGATACAAAAGAAGCATACTGCATATATACCTTCCTTCATCGTCGGACAATTCACTTAAAGGGCTATCATCAAACACCGCGGGAGGATCTCCATTGACATGAGTGTTGGTCTGAGGGGCTCTGCTGCGCCGGGCCCCTCTGACCAGCTCCAGCTGTAAGGTCTCCTCTACAGCTGCTCCCTCCTGTCTGTTGCTATTGTAGGTCTGCTGGGGTGGGAGATGCAATTGCACTGGTGCCCCGTTGATGCTATGGAGAGCAATAAACCTGATCATCAATACGTTGTGACATCTGCACTTTGGGCCCTTGGACTCAGTTCCTTTTGTTGAATATGTGAAATATAAATGTAGCAAAAGTGCATTTATCAAAAAAGAGCCTTATGAAAATGATTTAGAGAACTATACACACACACACACACACACACACACACACACACACACACGCCTAAAAGGAAAAACTTTTCTTCTAGATTATATCTGATTTCTACACTGTGGAGGATTTTGGATGTGTTGTTCTGAAAGCAATAATTAAACTCTGTAATGATAACCGTCAGGGCCTAAAGTAAAACAATGCATACCTCTTGGTGGCCGCAGACTGCTGCTCCTGGTGAGTTGCTGCAGCTCGACTTGACAGGGATCCTAACCTGGTCTCAGGTTTCTCAGTACCCGCTTTTTCCAATGCCATTCCACCAGTATCACAGGAAGTTGTGGGTTTTTGCTCCTCCGATGCAGTCTTTGTCGCCTCCTCGCCAACCTGAAAAGACAAGGGTAAACATTTGATAACTGGACTTGAGAGATTGTTCCTCTCATGAAACAGGTTGGGGCCAGCCTTTTAAGATGCGTTTTGGAGCAGGGACTTGTGCTCTTTGTCATACATAATTTAGTGTCACCCCTCCCATCGGAGACCTAACACCTTAGTGTGGTTACTCTATTTGACATGGTAATTTCAGTTAATAATAAGGATGCACAATCCCACACATTACAATGATGCTGTGGCAAACCTGAACCGAGAAAAATCTCACCAGTTTTGACTACACTGAAATGAATAGTAAACATCCAAGAACTAGAAAGGTTCTTTGCTAATTCTACTTGAGCTCAACACTACAGTATTACTATCTCTTAAAGTACTGCCTCTAGCCGTTTATACTGTATGCTATTTACGGCGACATCACACTGTCAGTGTCCCACTGTCTATTGCAGACATTAGTTGTACTCTCTGTGAATGCAAAAGCCAAACTGTGTAGCAACGACAAAGCACAAAAATATGTTTCCTTCTATGGTTTCTTTCCACAAAAACACTCAACAAAAGGCTGGCCCAAAAGAGTAAATCTATTCATCCCGTGTGTATAAAGACCAACCTTTTCTATGTCAAATGCCATATTATCACAACAGCACTTCTTTTTAGGGCAAAGAAGGCTTTTATTTGTACAATCTTCACACCACATACCCTAAAAAGAGATTTCATACAACAGAACTTATTCAACATAAAGATACATGCGAGGTCCATGCATGATGAAGGACAAGTCACTACTAAAGCACACATAAGAGTGAACGTTTAGTTTTGGGGCACACTCAAGGATGACAAACAACCAAGGTGTTCCTAACTGCAAGTCAGTACTAAAGGTTACTTGAGCGCAGTGGAAATGACCTTCAATTAAACAATAGTTAAATTCTACATGTTAGTTAAAAAGACACAAAAATGTAAGGAGAGCATGCAAGATGAGCTCTTCTACTTGAAATAGAACCTAAAGAAAATAAATAAAGACATATAAAGACAATGAACAACACGACTGATTAAAAGAAATGAAATAAAGAGAAAGTGAGGCGATCAAGAAGGGAGTATAGGAGGGGCGGCCGTCCTCTACCTCTTTCTGGAGTTGGGCCTTTTCTTTCTCCAAATCCAGGAAGACATACTTCAGGATCCCTACCTCAAGTTTAAATCTGTCCATGTCCTCTTCCAGCTCTTCATCCGAAACACCTGGGATAGAAGCTGAACATCTGCTTAGTGAGGCGGGGTGAGCCTTGGTGACTTCCTCAGGATCCTCTTCTGAACCGGCGTTGTTCCTCTCAGCCTCATCTACTTTAGCAGCGCTGTCCCTCCAGATTAGGTCCAGATGTGGCTTCTGGAATGGCCCAAGTTTAGCCTCCTCTTTTAGGGATGTGCTCCGGTCAATATCAGAGACGGGTATGCATTGATCATCAGTAAAAGCTGTGGTAACAGGATCTATGCAGCTGCCTCCCCATGCTGTGGCGGGTTGAGGTGAAGGAGAGCTGCACTCCTCCATAACATCATCAGTGAGTAGATCTGGCTCTCGACACATGTTGCTCTCACTCGCCGGGGGCTCGTGGAGCTGCATCCTGTCCTCGCATAGGGAGTTGTCGGTTGACTCCGTCACAGAGTCTTCCAGTCCAGACTCCCTCTGCTCAGGTATGGTGAGAAGGACGGTACTCCTCGCTCTGGCCATGGGCCGCACAATGACTTCCCCTTCTTCCTCATCACTCGAGTCTTCTTCTGCGGAAGTAGATTCGTTGCCCGTGGCCCGTTCTTCTTCTGCGACGTCTTCAGCAGAGCGTCTTGATTTTAGCAGTTCTCCAAACCTCTCTTTCAATTCCCCGGCAACATTCTTGAAGGTGGATTTGACCTCCCTTTTCTCCACTTCCACCCAGAGCTTCTCGTAACGATTCTCCCATGGAACGTTATCTCCCGCTTCATTTCTTTCTTCAGGACTGCGTTGATCTCCAAAGTCTGAATCTCTTTCTCGACCGTCAGAGCTCACATGGCCGGATGGACTTGGGTTATTCAAATCTAACTCACATGTATCTATTGCATCATCTATCTCCTTTGATGGCATGGGTGGACAAGGAAAAACACAAAACAGAGAAGACAAAAATGCAAAAAAAACAAGTTTGGACTAAATACTAACATACATACATACATACATACATACATATATGACTGACATATAACACAATATTAAAATAAATATGGAGGCATTTAAACATCACATTCTCAGATCCTTCTTATAATGTTAGCAAACTACATTCTAATTATAGAAAAGACTATAAGTATAAGTAACAACTTGTTTGGCACTTTCAAACAGAACTTTTGATTTCTGGCACAGTCAAGATTTTTTTTTTTTCTGAACAAGTTGTCAAAGGCCAGAACAACAGATGTGGCTGTCATGCATTAAGAATTTAAAGCTGTGTCCCACAATGGCAAATGCATATTCAAATGTTTTACCCATTTTTTCTGCCAATATTTGGGATAATTGCTTACAATTAGCCAAAACTAAAACAAATGTGAGTCTTCGATCTCGCTAAGAGGTTCCAAAATACTGCATTTTCACGTGTCTCACTTGACACGGATCAAAGGGGAAACACAGGCTTTGAGGACCCCTAAAGCCTTGATGAGCAATGTCACAAAGTAGATCATTTGATTAGATTTGGATAGGTTGCTATTAATACAACCGTACTTTTAAATATGCACATACAGTATGTACAATGAGATATGACTGGGAAAGCATGAATGGTGATGTTGTGTCTGGGACAAAAATGTCAGGAATAAAAAAAATAAAAAATTGTGGTAGGGATGGAATGTGGTGAGTATTTCTCACCTTTTGTTGCTGCTTGTCCGACTCTACTCTGTTACTTTTACTGTCTTTTGCCATCGGTGAGAGCTCAGGGGAACCTAAGGAGACAGAGAGGATTTATCCAGAGCACATGTGCACACAAATATCTGACGGCACACTTAAAAAGGTCCAGTGAGACTTACCCGGTGTGACCTCTGTCTGAAGCTCAGCTATATTTTGCAACTGATTGTCAATTTTGGCTGTATTGCAAGAGGACACAACATTGTCTGGCTCCCAATCTGATTCTGAATGAGAGCAAGAATACGAAGAAAGAGAAAAATGATGTGAAGACAGAATTACTCCGATATAAATGCTGTTAAATCATTTCCTTGAGAAAAGTTGGGAAAGAAAATGTTTGTAATTATCATCCGCTGAAAGTGACTGAATTTGACTGAGACAGTCATGATCCCGATATGCCTTACCTTCTTCACTGTCTGGTTTCTGAGGCACCATCTTCCTGACTCGAGGCTGGGGTTGGGGCCCGGGCTGAAGGGGTGTGCTGGGCATCGTCTTGTCGGAGTTGATGCTCCTCTGAGGTATCAGGGGTGCTGCTGGAGCAATGTCTTCATCCTGCTCTTTAACAGATGGATAAGAGCATTCTGGGAGCTCCTCAAGTCCAGGGGAGGGCATTCTGCGGCCAGGCAGGGTTCTCCTACTGGCAGTACTGGCCGAGTCCCAGTCTGACGCATCTGTGTCATTAACACAACAAGTTATAGGTCAAAGATGTCATTGATGGCATTGATGTTGCTGAGGGAAGGAGGTCAGTCAACATTGGGATAACCGCAACACATGACAACACCACTCAATGGAACAGATCAGGGAAAGGCGAGATCAAACGAGGATCTACAGCTACCAGAATAAACAGTTCATCTTGCCTAATCCACTAGTTCATGTTTACTGACCTGCTTTTTTAGCTTCAAAAGGTTTGATGACAGGAAAATACAAAGCGTAATTAAGCCAGTGTTGCATGCAGACAGACAATTTTATATAAAAGCTTAAAAAAAGACAGTGGGTCCTAATACCTACTCTGTAGGTTTCAGGCAATTTACCCACAGGGACAGTGGCTTTAGATGATCAACTACCAACTGTGATTATATAAACCATTTCATTTTTTAAATAAGGGAGCTCATTATTTCTTACCTTCAAGATCATCAACGTCACCTAGACCAAGCTCTTCCATTAAGTCTGTCAAATTAAAACAAAATGTTCAATACAAACAACTCTTCTTCAAATACATTCTTACATTTTAGATCAACAGGAACCCCGTGCTCCAGGTGACAACATGTACCTGTCTTTCGTTCGCTGTCTCCTTCGAGTTTGCTCAAAACACGGAGAGGTTCCCATTTTGTCTTCTCAGTCTGGTAAAAAGGAAGAAATGTTGCTATTTGATTTCAACAGAGTTTATTTTACCTTCTACAGCATTGAGTTGTTGAACCTACCTCTCTCTGTATACTATCATCTTTCTCAGCATGTTCACCTCCATTCTCATCAGTATGGATCTCAACTGCAAGAGACAATACAAGTCTGTCATGTTAGACACAGAATGAACTTCTTCTGTGAAAAACTACAAAACATTCTAGTGAAGCTGGGTGGGTTTGGCAGAACATTGTGCAAAAGCATTCCCATGCAAATGAGCTCATGGTTGATTAGCATGAAGATACTTGGTAAGGCATCAGACGAGTATTTCAATTCCTTGTTATATTTGGACACCAATGCAGCATCAGCCAAGAATGCTGATAAGTGGTAAAATAAATGGGGTTCAAGGGGGGCAGCAAGCAGGGTGGAGTAGTGCATTCTGCATGCATTCTCTTATGGTGATCATGGGGTGATGGTCAGACTGCATGCTGTTCCTCAGACTTGTGAGTCAAGACATTCATACCCTCTCCCTGGCTGCCTCTTGGCCTGCCTACACTCCTCCGAGCTTCTAGATCTGCCATCCTATTGCCTCCTTCCCCTCTTACAAAAGAGGGAACATAAAACAACTCTACGAAAGAAATTAACATATTGTTGGAAAGGATATTTTTTGATTGATGGAAATTATATTGCATTGCACATTCTTCGCTATATTTAGAATGAAAAGAAGAAAGCCGGGAACCATTACCCGCAGACAAATATAGTTCATGCATACAAAAGAGCAGTTTTGTATTAAATAAGTTCATAAGGCATGAAATGGTGCCTGGAATGGTTTGATTGCTTTGAAAACAAAAAAGGAGTAAATGAAATAGACCTACTTCCTTTACTCTCTTCCTCAACAGTGGACATCTGTTCTTGATCCTGAGTGTGCAAGCTTTGTTTCTCTGCACGGGGCATATCGGGGTTATCGGAGCGGGACTGAAAGAGAAAAATTCCCCATGTGAGAATCTGTGTGGCAAACATCTGGTCCTACAAGATAGTCCAAAATGTGTCTCTGCCATACCTCAGAGTCCCAAGAATCCTGCTCCTCCTCTCCCTTCTCCAGACCCAGCTCAGACAGGAAGTCTATTTCAACAGGTGTAGATTAATCAGGTGTAGATTAATTACGAAGTGAAAAGTGATAGAAGTGAAAAGTGGGCGGTGGTAGTTGCAGAGCAATACAGGATGTCTGGTATAGGAGTTTACCACAATTTGATTTGAATTCCTGGTGCTACGATTCAAATCAAAACAATTCATGATGCATCCCCTGTATGATCATATTTACAATAACATTAGTTACAGAACCAGAGTGTAATATTACATTTAAATGCACTAAATGGGTTTAGTTTGAACAAATAGTATTAATATATACGAATTAAGCAATATAAATGTTGATTTTTCTATAAAAGGAAAGAAATGTATTGTATGACATTTGTCCTATCTTCTCTTTTGTATATTTACTATTGCTCTTTAATAAGGCAAAGGTAATCTGATTACTCAATCAATCACATAATCTGTAGAATACTTGATGACAATAATACATAGCTGCAGCCCTTGTTGTCAGTAAGATGTTCAAGGGTGCCTCAGTAACTAAGGAGAAGACGGCCTACAGATACCTTGAGATCGTATTAGTGGAAATTGAGTTTTTAGTAACATGTTCAGAACAGCTGTTATAAATGCTCCTTACCTCTTTTCTTATCTTTAGAGACTTCTGTCTCAGGAACAGGTGAAATGGCCTCAAGGGAGTCTCTGCTCTCTTCAGGTTCATCATTTTCATCTGAGACGTCTTCTTCCTCTTCGTCATCTCCATCCTCCTCTTGGTCATTGTCATCCTCGTCCCCAGTGGAATCTTCTTTCTGTGTAAAGAAAAGCAATGTACTCATAACGATGTGCTTTAAAACCTACCTCTACGACTGTGTGTGTCCATAAGAGGCATCTCTAATGAAAGGGGAAGCAAACTGGGAACAAGCAGATGAAAACAAATGCATGTGAGGTGTTGTCAGAGGGCTCGAAGAGCCCAAACTACATTTCACAAACTGCTACACTACACCTAAAACTACCTGTTTTACCTGAAGGACAGGCTCTTCGATGTTTCTGAGCTCTTGACTTCTCATGCCTATGCTCTTTGCCTCATCAGGTGAGTCTACGTCAACATCATCGATGTCAGTCTGAGGCAACACTTCATCAGAGGATGTGCTCCCGTCCGAATCGTGGAGTTGACCAGCAGTGACACTGTCTTTGGTGGCAGGGCTCGATGACATTTTTGCCCTTTTTGGTTCTTCATCGAGGTCCTCTGATGACACTCTTGGCTGGGGAACGACGGCACCTCTGTTTTCTAGAGGAACATAAGCAGTTAATCTAGCTTTGTGTTCATCGTCTTCGTCAGACACCTCGACTGTGGCGCTGGCAAAATCGTACTGCAGCTTTTGGTCCAGGCTGTCAGAGTCCTCACTTATCTCTCCGTCTATGCTGGGATTGTCTTCCTGAACACCCGCCAGCAGTTCCTCCTCCGACCTGTTACCCTCTGGATACTCATCCTCTCCATCAATTATGGTTTGAGGAGCCTTTTCATTGTCTTCATCTCCCTCTGACTTCCTGTCTATTGCACTTGTGGGCCTCAACTTAGCTGGGGTAGAAAGACATGTTTTCAAGTCGTTACCGCAGGCTGAGACTTCATCTTCTTTTCTCACCGTTGTCTTCTGCTTCTCCGACTCATCACTTTCATCTTTGTCATCCCAGCTACTATCATCGCCTTTCTCATTCTCAGAGTATAATTTTCCATCCGTTTGTCCAACTGATTCAACATCATCGTTATCTAGTGTTTGGCCTCTGGTTGTTTTTTCATCCTCAGCTACTGGTGACACTGTAGGGGAGGGGTCATTTGACTCTTTCTCAGCACTTTCTTTATCTTCTTCTTCTTCCCAAGAGCCATCACAACGCTGCTGCTCTCCAGTCTGGTTTGCGGTTCCAATATTAGTTTTAGAAACTGGTGACTGCACATCACCTTTAGTAAAGGAGCCTTTATCGTTCTGGTCATTATTTTCAGAAGAGGAATCCCACTCTGATTCATCTACTGCTGCTTTTTCTGCTCTGTTTTTGGACTGAGGAGTGCTTGTTGAACATAATCCCAACGTGGGCAACGGTTCATCTTTCACTGGCTTAGGTGAGACACATTTTGGAGATGTTCCCACCGCGGATGAAGAATCCCACGAGGTATCCAGGTGGTCTTTGTTTGGTTGAGGTACTGAGCATTTCGAATGCAGTGTTGCTGCTTTTGGTTTTAAATGAGATGATCGAACGTCCCTTTTCTGATCAAGCGTCTCCCTGTTTACCTCTTCTTCTTTGGGTAGTTCTGTGTCGCTGTCCTCTAATGAGGAGCCCCATGAGGATCTGCGTCTGTCCCCTTTGAAAGCTTCTGTGTTTGATCCAGCATCAGAGGAGCCTTCTGTATTTTGAACTCCATCCTCAGGCACAACATTTCTCCGATTAGCTAGTACTGTGCTGCGACCGAGTCCCCCCGTTTGATTCTCCTCTTCATCAGCAGTGTCCTTTCTCACTGTATCACCGCTGTTTTGTTCATTGCTCCAGAAGTCGTCAGCACCAATTTCCATCTCGGTTTCAAACTCTTCCTCCTTAACCGCAGTAGGGGAACAAGTTTGCGTGTGATGTCTGGATGTTGTGTGGATGTTTCCTGCTGAAGCCAGTTCTGATGACCACACGCATTCCTTCCCATGGCTGTCGTCTTCATCAGAAAATTTAGATTCGACCCTAATGGCTGACACGACACAATCCTCCTCTACATCTAATGTTGCCGGCATTGCGTAACTTGCTGTTCCAGCTGGGCAGACCGTGTCGTGTTTTTGAGTCTCTGTTTTGGCCTCTACATTCTCCCCCACTGTACTAGGACCAGTTTCGCTGCTGTAAGAGACGTCAGTTCCAGGAGTGTTTTGAGCGTCAGCACCGTCAATAATGTTAAGGGCACTGGTAACGGAAGCTTTTTGTATATCTTTAAATTCACTAGTGTTGGCCTCGACAGATGCAACACATTTGTCATCGTCTTCCTCATCACATTCATTTTCTTCTTTATCCTCTTCCTCTTCATCATCTTCATCCTCCTCCTCTTCGTCATCCTCCTCATCTTCATCTTCATCATCATCATCTTCTTCTTCATCATCATCTTCCTCTTCTTCTTCCTCCTCTTCTTCTTCCTCCTCCTCAGAGTCCTCCGCTTCTGGGCTTCTCTCTTGAGAGTCGGACCTCGCTTTACTACTTGAAGGCTGCTCCATGTGTTTGCCTTTCTCTTGCTCCTCTGCTTGTTATAGGCATTTGGGGGGGGGGGGGATAGAAGGAGAGAAAGGTGTCATAGAAATGCAAGTCCAACACAAGTATTTTACCTTTATGTAGCTGGGACGAGGAGTAGAGGTCATCTGGGGTGCTCTGGAAAGGAAGGAAGTGGGAGCGGGATCTACTGGGTGCTGCAGAGCTTTGGATGGTAAAGCCTTCGGGAGGGATGGGATTCTCTGGACTCTATTCTCACTCTCTGGCTCAGATTCTGTACCGCTCAAGGATCTGTCAGGCAGTGCCGAAGCTACAGGGCAGGCAGGGATAAAAGATCACTTCTAAAAAGCACAAACTTGTGAGGGACACTAACAAGTGAATAAGGTTAAACATGTCTCAGTACCTTCTCCTCTTTTAGATGCAATCATTTTCCTTAGGTTTACCCTCTGTGGTTTCTGAAAGACAGCATATGAGATGAAGGCCAGAGCAATATTTAGGAAAAACACAGTTGCAAAAAAAAGTAGCACCAACCTTTTCCATTAAAACCAATTCATCATCATCTTCTGATGAAGCCCATTCATCTGCAGCACTTTTTGAAACCCTGAGGAGGAAGGAAGAACGGTTTGAGCCGGGCAGCCAATTGTAATTGTGAGTTACTCACCACAAGAAGATTATGCTCACCGACTTAGTGACTCCGACTGAGAATTGTCTTCAAAATCTGCAACAAAGCGGCGAAGCTTATTTTCAGCCTCACTTCAATCAATTTTAGAAAAGGTACAAGTCATATCTTAATATCAAAACTTTAAAAATAGTGAGATCCTGAGAGCATCTAAATCTTAAGAAGCAGAAAAAGTACAATGCACAAAGCGCTAGAATCTAAGCAGCATAAAGAAGTGCATTTCCTGAAGAGAGGAGTAGTTTAAGTATCCATTCTTAGTAAATATGAATGATCTTTACTGGCACAAAACTGACAGCTTTTGACTGATTTTGCTAACAAAGCGCTTCTAAGCAAAGTAATACCTCCCCCTGCTTCATTTGTTCCATGCTCTAGATCCAGTCAAGAGGTAATGCATGAGGAATAAATAAAATAATCACAGTCAATAATTTACAGACAGAATAACATCCTCCCACCACTTTCATCCACTAGTATGTGATGAAAACGTATCTCCCTACCATCTTTGTCAGTGGCTGGTCCTCCCAAAGAGAAGCCTGCTTCTATGTCTTGGGAAGGACTGCCCAACAGCGCTTTTTTCTTCTTTTTGATCGGACCTTGATTGGAGAGGGAAGGCCCATCATTCCTCTGGGTGCTGTGCTCGATGATCAGGAGGGAACAACTACATGAGAGACAAGACAGTGACAATGCCATAAGCCTTAACAAGAACAAGAGGAAGAATTCAACTGTGAAAAACACCATAGATGCATAAATTACAGAAGACATACAACTGTAGGGACATATGTACAAAGAAAAGAAGCACAGCTTACGGATGATGCCCATTCATCACTGCGTAGTCATCAGCTGACCATCCTTTGGTATCCTTTAGCACGAAATCTGCATCAAACCGCAAGAGCAGCCGCAACATACCAATCTGTCCATTACCAGCAGCGATCATTAACGGGGACCTGCAGGTAAAATCAATGACGTCAGCAACATTTAAATTATTGGAGATGTATCGCAAATCCTTGTTTCATACTGACCTTTGGGCTTGGTCCATAACATTGACACCAGCACCCTCCTTGAGGAGAAACTCAGCCATCTCGATGTGGTCCTCACGCACTGACACAGTCAAGGGTGTGAACCCCTCCTGAAAATATAGTCACAGTCAACAACCTCATTCATTGGACCGGTGTCTTCAGAACAGCAATACCTCATCGTACGCCGAGTATCAGATATCATAGGTGGCATTTTTGATTTAATATTTTTACTGAAGCCTAGAGACACGCGTCACTGAACGCATAAGCTGCATCCAGACAACTCATAAGCACAACACATCTTTCTCACAGCAAACATGTTGACTTGGAAACAAAACACACACTAAGAGGTCCACCCCTATTGGCCATATTTGGTTATTGCAATAAAGACTGTTATTAGGAGCTTTGATGGCATGATATGTGTTACTACCTTATTTTAAAATATGCCGACAGAATCACCTTATTTTGTGCATTGATGTCAGCCTCGTGCTCCAGCAGCAGGACAGTAGTGGAAATGGACGGGATGTTCGCTGCCAAATGCAGGGCCGTATTGCCATTGACGTCCACTAGGTTCGGCTCGGCGTGGTTCTCCAGCAGTACGCTCACGGCGCGCTCATGTTGACCCTGCACTGCCTGATGTAGAGGAGAATGACGTGATTGCAGAGGCCTGAACGAGGCTTGAAACAAATACATGAGGAACGTAGCCAACTATGTTCACGACAATTATATTTGAAATGAAATGAAGAATCACTCTGTGGTGGAGTCTCATCATCCAGGATTACCTTCATTAAGGCAGATCTATTTTGATTGTCGCATAAGTTAAGCTTAGCTTTGCTCGCGATGAGGAATTGCACCACCTCGACATGTCCACTGGCGCAGGCAATGTGAAGTGCAGTTCTGTAACAGTAGAGGAGAGATTTTTATATGCAAGCATTCCTATTCTTAATAAAAACACTACCATTGATCCTTAGAAGTACTTCTATTCTAGGCCTTACTTTGCTTGTATTTGTAACCAATCAACATATTGCTTCCATTCTGTAAATTGCCTCAAGTACTATACGTACACACTCAGTTACTTCTGACACACACTAATTGTGAATGGTAATTAGATCCTACTTTGAAACATAAGTAGAAAAGAAACAGTGGGGTGTCAAGTACATGTTAACACTGCATGGCTGCAGTCAAGGGTTGATTGTGAAAGGTGAACATATGATGAAACAGTGGGGAAAAGGCTCCAAAATAATGTGTTAAAAAAGATATAGACGGATCAGATACTGTTAAGGATGTGACAACAAGTGCTTTGATCCCACTTACCTGTTCTCCTTGTCAAGTTGATTGATATCATTCTTTTTAGCCAGCTGCTTCAGCTTTGCCAAATCACCCACCGAGGCAGCCTTGTGAACCTTCCCGAGGTCCTTTTCTTTAAGTTCATAGCCAGCAGAAAGCACACTCCAACTGTCAGGAGTACCGGACGGGTGTTTCTTTCTCTTGGTGAAGCTGAATATCTTCTTCATTTTTGCACCGTCACTACCTGCCACTCATCAGGTGCTGGAGGATCAACACAGGCGCCTCTCCCATCCCTAGAATTAAGACGCGCAAAGCGGATTAGAAGCCTATAAAACACTGCGGTGTTTCTTCATATAAGATATAGCGTTAACGATGTACTGTTAGCACAAATACTGTTCCTCACACAGCAATATTAGGTGGCATAACCTAGTTTAGGCGCATAGAGATCTACTGCACATCTAGTGAGATAATAAGCATAACGTTTAGTATCTCATTACTTCAGATGACGGTAAAAACACAGCTGTCATGCTAACGGCAGCGATACATCCACGTAAGAAGGCTATAACGTTAACTGCGTAAGAAGGCTATAACGTTAACTAAGCTAACATTAGCCTCAATTTCTTGACCATACCTTTACGCAAAGGACGTCGTCTGCGTTATCTTAAGCCTTTCATTTTAGCACGATTTTGATGCGATAACGATGCATGTACAGAGCAAGCTAACGTTGTTTTACATGAACGTTATTTAGCCGTATATATCTTGTGGCTTGTTACCATGGTAACTGATTGTAACGTACTGGTTATCCAATCCGTTTATGTTGGAGAATACTGTTGTGTTACAGTAACGTACGCAATGCCACACTACCTTCATTTTCTTTCATCATATCTATATATATATATTTTAAAAAGCTTAAGTTTTAACCCCGCTAACTCAATGCTAATTAGCAAACTCTTAAAAAATCAGAACCGAGTGTTTGGTAACAGAACGATAACTTTAAGACGAAGGAAGTACGTGAGGCTTTAATTATGTACGAAAGCTTGTGTGTGTACTTAATGCAAATTGCCTTACAGTATATTAACTTAAACACTAACCTGTTGATTGTCCGAGTCAGACTTTTATCATAGAGCTAGCGATGGCTAAAGCTAATGGAGAACATGCTGGCCGTTGGTTTTTCAAGGATCCAATCAGAAATGAGCTCGAGGTGACGAGGGGTTTTACTGACCAATAGGCGGCTTCGTTGTATGCCGATGGTTGGTTTACAAGTTATGGAGGGTGAAACGAAAGAAGGCTTGTTGGTGTAATGGCAAAAATTCACCACTTGGTTGCGACATCTGTCTTGAAATTAAAATGTTATTGGACCATGCGGTTTCAAAAGACCCTAGTTTCACACAGTTCTCTTGGTCAACCCAATAGAGTAATTTAGAATATGAATCAAAGATCGAAACTCAAAAAATAACAAAACTAGTAGATAATTAGATTTTTTTATTTAGTAGATTATTTTTCATGTTAAAAATAGGAATTCATGTGCTCATTCAAACAGACAGACAGACAAATACTTTTTTCTCTAAATACGCAGAGAAAGTCATGATTTTGGTTGGAATTAGGATCCAACAGTAAAATATAGAAATCAAATGCAATATTCCAGCAATAATAATTATCTTTCCAAGGCTCACAATGTTTAATTGCTGTCAGGTCTGCCATCCTATTGTGAAGTCTTTCTGGTGACAGATGAACAGAAATACCTTTATAATGAAATCCAACACAACATCAGTCTATGTCCTAAAACTTGCTATTAAACCAAATTAAAACCACTTTGACACAGAAGGTATGTATTATTGCTCACAAAATGTGGCCTCACTCATTCTTAATATCTGCTTCTATTTAATCCCCATTTGGAAGCACGGAGGCATCTAACATTTTTCTAGTGCCATGAAATTTAGGCTTTACCGCCAATAACAAATGTTGCATACTTTCAGTGTCCTTCCATAGCGAAAACAAAAAACAACAAAATGATTGCAGAAACATTAAAATGACTGTTTTTTTTTGTTTGTTATTTATTTAATGCAAAAAGCACATAAGCTTCAAGGTAAAGGTTATAGCAGAGACGTGTTTAGTTTGCTTGATGAAAATAAAATGCTCCCTTCCGTTTAATTGTTGTGCAACAGAGGTCAATTTAAGCCAGGTGAATTGCCTTATTGCTTTTAACAACTGTTCAAAGCTTCATCATAGATGTGTATAGTGTTCATATTTGAGATCCAGGACAGGGATTCACAGTCTCATGTCTCAGCCAGATAATGTGCTGCTTTCTAAACTGTGATTTGATTGGTTTTCTCAAAACATGAGGCCACAGGGGTATCGCTTTTTCCAGAAAAGCAAATCATTCATTTGAATCTCCTGTTTATGGGCTACCATCTTGCCAAAAAGCCTCTTGAATATGATAAATCAAAAACAATCCTCTAAGACCTGTTTTTATTTCCAAGTGAATAGAAGAATATTTTTGGATCTTCATTACACATTTGCTGTCATGATATTTATATTGTGCAGGGAAATAATTCTGATTTGAGTATGCAAGCATTTTGGATACCAAATTATGCAAGAATCATGCCACTGCACTGTACATATTAAGCAAGATAGCAATGTAATATGTACAGGTTGAGGATTTCAAATAGGAAAAAAAAAAATCGTTTGTAGATTTAAGTTTTCTCAAATGACCCAAATAGATTTGCTGCACATAATTTAGCCCCATACTTTAGAGTCCTCAGTTCTGTTGAACTTCAAATGTCATGACAAGTTATTTGTGACGTCAAAAGACATAGATGCTATCGTAAATCCCCAGAAATGCTATGATTTGTAAATCATAGTGGTTTTGTTGGAGAGTACGTATTTAAAGCCAATTGCTTTTTTCTTATTATATCTTTTTAAAGGGTTATGTTGCAGGAGGTACTGAAGGACATTTTCAAGCGGCAAAGCCATGTTCTCTAATCTCTGCTGTTTGTATTTTGATTAACAAGAGTTGATACTTGAGAAATTTCGTTCAAGTCTTTGCAGGTCTTTTGCAGATCATGGATGATGAGCAATTACCCTGGTTTGACCCCACCATGCTTCTGCAAATATAAGGTTTGGATGCAATACTGAGCTGGACTTTCTAAAACCCCACGATTCGTTGCTAAGATAGGGGACAGAGTCCAGAGAGTAGGCTTTGTTATTGTCACACTCTTGCTCAGTTTGTCCCTTGCTCTGCTCGGACCAATTACATGCCTCTCATCATGGCAGGTGGAGTTGTGACGAGAACGAAGACCATACTTATTCTCCTGTGGTGTTGTGCTCTGTGTCATCATTGTTGATGGGACACACACTCACACATACACAGATGCACATCATTCTCACATCTCTGGGTCTCTTGCCTGCCCTCCTCAAACTGAATCGTTCACTGCAGAGGCATTAACCACTTTCACTCTTCCAGCTCCTCGGCCTCAATCTCTAACTGTGCTCTCAAATCGAAGAGGACTTGTTTCAAAGCCATCCATCCCCCTCAGAAGTCCTTCTGTGTCTGGTCTACCTTCGTGACTTGAAGGTGTGTGACTTGAAGGTACAAATCTAAAATCCAATCTGTCTGATCCTTAAAGATTTGCTTCAAGTTTAAGGGCTGATTAAATTCAAGCTTAAAAACTATTAAAAAGACAAGTATCACACATGAATTATGAAAAACACACAAAAAAAAATGCTTCACACCCTCCATACAGACGTCTTGTAATACTTTCTAATACCCAGAGGGATAACGGAGATGAGGGATATAGTGAGTGTGAAGATATGGCCCTCATTAGTAGTATATAGGTGCCACCATCGCGCGTGCATGTAAGTGCACCAGATTGCGCGTGCACGTGAAGTGTGCATTTTATGATTTATGACTTTTTTTTTTTTTTTTTTTTCGAATTTGCATAATGATCTGAAAACTGCTTTATTGCGTATGTAGCGAATGTATAAAGTTGTTTTTTTATTGTTGCGTGTGTAGGAGTGCGTAGAGAGAGAGAGGTGTTTGTGTGACTGAAACTTATTTACTCCTGCTGTAGCAGGCTGGTGTCTCCCCTAGACTGTGAGCAGGGAGCAGGGAGGGGAGGGGTCTGAAAGGTGGCATTGATTGCGCGTACATGAGCGTGTACGTGTTTGTGTGTGAGTGTGTGTGTGGTGAATAACTGAACCGCTTTGAGCATACATGAGGGTGCGTGTGTCCGTAGAGGGGCGTATAGGAGGACATAGAGGAGTGTGTGTGAGACTGAAACTTATTTAGGTCTACTCATACTGTAGATCAGGGGTATTCAACTAAAATTCCAAAAGGGTCAGATTGAGAAAATCTCCTTAGGCAAAAGTCTGAAACATTACAATAATATCTAACTCGCGCTATTTAGTGCCATATATAAATATATTCAAAAAGCCTAGTAGTAGTAACAACGTCTCTGTGTAGTCAACAGCTGTCAAATCAAATAAAGAAAGTACACATCAATTATATTTCAACAATTATTATTCTCAGTTTTCAAATTTAACTGGATGGATTATAATAATACATAGAAATACATAAATAAATGTTCTTCTCATTTCAAGTACAATAAGGGCTGGACTAGAGAATAACTGATTAAACAGAAAGCTTTTGAAGAATGTGCATCTTAAAATAAAGTAATTCATTTTAGAAAAATCAATTTCACTGAATTGTCTGCAGCTTTAAATTCAGTTCATACAGGTGTGAAGTGATGTCAATAGAAAAGCCACGATATTATATTTTTGTCATCTAAAAAGATAAATCAGTGAGCATGGACTTTATCTGTGGTTATTAAACCACTTGTTTCAGCTCTATTCTCTCTGTTAACATCATTAAACAGTGAATTCATGTGTTAGGATCCTGATCACATTGGGGCACAGGTTTTATTTACTATGTCTTCATTTAGAAGTGAGTGGGTACGTTAGTTCAAAAGAGTTGTGCATTGCCTCGTAGTGCGCTTCATTTGCAGCTTTTATCAATAGTTACGGTTTCTGAAACATACTGGTTTTAACGGCCTGTGGTAAGAATTAACATATAAGAGTCTGTTCATTCCTGCTTATAAATTCTATTCTCTCTGAACACGTTTCTCTTTTTGGAGAACGGCATGTGAGATATCTTCTTAGATTAGCGCAATATTCCGGCTCTTCTTTCTATTTCCTCGTCTCTCCCCCGTGTGTCACGGTGTGTGTAAACCTCGCTCGATTCAGGAAACATGTCGGAATACTCATAATTTGACTGGCTGTGCTACATCACCTGATGATGCACCGCTGAACAAGGGCCGTAACGGCTAAATAACACGCGCCGGTTAAAGTCCAAACTCTCAATTTAATATGTATAACCCCGAATTATCTATCGGTTTTAGGTCCTGGGGACGGATGCAACAGCGTCTAGGTCCTCCAGTGGGGGACCCATGCTGTGTAGAGGCACTGGGTGTCTCCCTTAGAGGGGATGTGTGTGAAAACGGAACTTTTTTTGGCGCGTTCATGAGAGGGTGTGTGTGTGTGTATGTGTGTGTGTGTGGGGCTTGCAGCCTAAGGCATGTCTTATGGGGGGGGGGGGGACTATTAACAGGACACTTAGTGAAGACACCAGTCTCTTGAAACATGATGTTTTTATTTATAATGTTTGTGTAGCAATATAGTAACAACATATTCAACCAAAAAAACAGGATGAAATTAGGAATAAAATGGTCAGCATTTGGATCCTTTTCTTTTAATTTTAATAAATTGCTAAAAATATATTTATTAATAGACTTTTACTTGCCATTGAAAGATTTACAAGTACTGGATTTCCATCAATTTTACAATGAATCTATGTCCTCAATCATTATTTACAGGAATTTATTTTGTTGATTCATAGTATAAGAAGAAAAAGCTATATCGACATCCAGGAGGTATGGTAGGGGGGTGAGCCAGGAGGGGAGGGCTGTGAAAACTGAACTGTTTTGCGCATGCATGAGAGGGTGTGTGTGTGTGTGTGTGTGTGTGTGTGTGTGTGTGTGTGTGTGTGTGGGTGGCTTGCAACCTAGAGCATGTCTTTCAGGCTGTGGGGGAGGGCTATTAACAGGCCACTTAGTGAAGACACCAGTCTCTTGAAACATGATGTTTTTATTTATAA